GAAAGCACAGCCACCAGCTGGAGCCAGGAGGGCAGGGGGAGCCCTGCCATTTTAACACAACATTTGGACCCTCATCTCTCATCTCCTTTCTGTTTTTCCAGTTGTTTATTGTTTTCCTCATTCCCGATACAGAGGCACGGAAGTAGCCTGACAACAACCCTCCCCCTGCCAGGCACAGGACCTCCGCTTGGTCCTCTCCTGTGTATTGTATTTCTACAATACACAGTTAACAGGAACTCTGTTTTCACACTCTGAGGGGTGTGAATCTGTCAACCAGAACAATCCTTCACTAGCTCTAAACTGGTGCCATGATTCAGGAGCTAATTAACAGCTATTAGATAATGCAATTAGCACCACAAACTGTCACCCTTCCCTGAGTATCTCTTCCCTTTATGGGCATGAGCCATAAATGTTCAGCATCTTCTATTCCCTCCTTTTTCTCTCTCCTCTCCTCCGTGTGGTGATGGCTGAACTAACTGCCCAGACCCACATCACATCAGCAGCTTGACATGACAGGACTAATCCCGTAAAGATTTTCACCCTCTCGGCACTTTTAGGAAGGCAAAGACAAGCAGGGGGCTGCCTTGGGGCTGGCCAGGCTCTTTCCAACTGTGACACCAAAGGTGATGTGCACTGGCCCAGCCTTCTGCATCCAGCCAGAGCAGGGGGTGATGTGTGCCTTCTCCTGGGATGTGCCTGCAGTGGAGGGGGTCAACTTCCCTTCCTCCTGGAGACAGGCAGCACCAAGAGCCCCACAGGATCCAGCCAACCAGGATCTGGCAGCCACAGTCACCCCATCCTGTCCCTGGGCTTGAGGTCTCTTCAGTTTTGCTGTTGCTCCAAACCAATGCAGATCAAAGGCCCTTCTCCTCTGGGAACAGCTCACACTCATAAGCGGCTCTTAAAGTAAGGGTTCCTCTAATTCCTCTCCTTCCTCTAAACATCTTCCTCCCCAGGCTGGTGTATGAGTGTGGGGCTTGTTTTATGGTGGGGATGCTTGCAGAGCACACTGGGTGTGTGCACAGCCCTGATCATTCCCAGAGATCTTGCTTCAAGCTGCATGTGGATCAGATGTGACTCTACCCCCCCCACACACACACACACTCACTTCCCACAGCGCTGAGGCTGAGACTGGGATGGAGGCAGTGTCAAAACAGGAAGGGGCATGGCTGGTGGTGACATGAGGGACACAGGCTGTGGAGGGGCAGAGCGAGGCTGTGCAGCACAGGGAGGAGAAGCAGAGAACACTGGGACGGTAGGGCTGCTTGGTCCAGGAGCTCATCCCATAATTTGAGGTGCCACCATCACATGGGTGTGTGTAAATACCAGCCTGTCCAATTGTCTTTGCTGCGCTGGTGGGGACGGTGACCAGCTCCTTCCACACAGGGAGCAGTGGAGACAGGAGGGAGTTAAACCCTCCATCCCACACAAGTTGAGTGCTCAGCAGGTTCTCAGTCACTAACTGCACCTAATGGAGCACCAGCTTCTAGCTAATTCAGACTTTTTGGGTACTGGGGGATTATCAGCAGTCCATGACAGGGCTTTTGCCTTTTCTACCTGGCAACAGGCTGTAAGGCAGTTTTCAGGAGCTGAGAGTCTGGGAAGGCTTGCTGGAGTTGCATATAAGGTGTACAGCAAGGAAATAGCTGGAGTTTTCTGCTGTGCCATTGGATGTCACCCTGTGACTGAGGAGGGGTGGGCAGCACTGGCTTTGCTCTCTTGTTCTGGAGCTGTCTCCTCACCCAGCAGTGGTGGCACCCACGATTTCAGGCAGCAATGAGGACCCTGCTGTGCCAAACACTGCCCAAAATAGTTGGACCCCATCCAAATTACAACCTTCTCTGCTTGGATCTGTGACTACCTGTGCCTTATGTCTTCATCCATAACATGCAAGATGATGTGTGGGAAGGGAAAGGTGTTTCACTATCTTGATGACGCAATTGCTGAGCACTGCAGCAGCCACAGAAACCCTTAGCCCAAAAGATGCTCTTGGTGAAGAGTTGGAGACTCCTAATGGCTTTGGTGGAGAGGAGAAAACCAAGCATAAATCATTACCAAAAGTTTGAGAAATTTTGCTGTAGCTGGCTGGTGCAAGCAAGTGTGGCAGAGCACCCCCTGAGCACTGCAGACATAGGATAACATGCGCAGGCTGAAAAGCCAATTGGTGTCACAGATAGGGGCCTCAGCCCCAGGAGCCCTCCTGAAGTGATCTCTGAGCTTTGCAAAGGCTAAGTCTCCTCCCTGTCTGCGGTGTCATCATGAAGGTGGGAGGCAAAAGAGGATGGAGACAAGGAGGGTGATGGGGGGGGTATGAGGGGAGGGAGAGAAGAAATGTGCTCCTGGAGGCGCAGGCAGCGAGAGCTGGGCACTGAGGTACATATGGGAGACATTTAGTGGGGAGACCCCACGCCTGGAGAGGTTCCTTGGTGTCTGGGGGCTTCACAGAATTGGGAACAATGATGTGGCTGGCATGAGGGTGGAGATGGAGTCACACTGGTGAGTTTGTCACAGCACCACAGCTCTCTTGTGTGCTCCCTCCATCCTCAGATACATCATGCAGATGCAGACAGATCTGTGATTGCCTTGAGGGCTGTGTCCCTACCCAGGCCCTACCCACCCAACATGGATACAAAGTCCCACCCAACTTTGACTTTGCCATGTCAAAGGCAAATGGTAGGATCTATCCCCAGTGCCTATGTAAGCGTGATGCATGGCTTGGTCAACTGCTCTGAGCCCTAACAAACTTGTAACATCCTTGGCCTACCCCTAGCTCTGGACTGAGCTGCCTGCCCTGCTCAGGAAGGCAAAGGCAGTGCAGAGCTGTCCCAGTGAGTTCAGAGAGGGAGTAGCAGACAGAAGAGTGACATAGCTGGATGAAGAGAGCAGAAAACGGGGGAAAAAAAGGATGCCCAGTGAGCTGGGGCATGGCAAAGAATAGCCAGGGCATCTGAGGCGAGGTGAGTGGTGTACACATCTTCAACTTGTATGTGTTGCTGTATGTCTGTGCTGAATGCATCCTCACACCTTTAAGCATTTTCACTCCCCCTCCTTCCCTCACACAGGTGATTGCTTTATTTTTGCTATTCGGTGAAGGTTCATTTTCAAAATGCCCATGTAAGCCCTCCACCCTGAGGCTGCAGTTGCCTCTGCCTCATCACACCATTTTGCAGCATGACCTCTGGGTGGCATCCAAACGCACGTGTGTGGGTCTGCATCAGCCTTTCCTGCTTGTCTCGTGACCTGTATAAACAGTTTTGTAGAGTGGATTGAGATGGACTTTTCTTACTTTGGGCAACTGAGAACACAAGCACCTGTCAAGGCCGATAATTAATTAGATGCACTTAGAAGAGGAGGCTGGTTCATGAACAAAAGTGAGAAAAGTGAAACCCTCATTTTAGCAGAGACAATGGAAAGGTTTCTTTTCAAGATTTTCAGATTCTTCTTGGAAGAGCTGGGGTAGATGTCTGTATGATTGCTAGGTTGTCTGATCGGTTTGATTAGCTGTTACAAGAATGACAGTTAAATCTCCCCATCTCACCAAAGTGAAGAAATTAAAACTCATTTCAATTGTATTGAAATCAACCCCCAAACTGCCATGATTATATATTTCTAAGCCATTTTATATACTTATCACCTCTTCTGACATCCCTGGCTGGGTGCCCAGGAAGGATGGCAGCAGAAACCTCTCTCCCTCTCCCTTGATGCATCCCTTGCACTTGGAGCTGGGTGTAAAGCTGGGCAATGCCACTAGGCTTCCTCCCCCTGTTGGTATCTAGAATTTAGCATATACCAAAGGGTACTGCTTTCTTTTCAAAGCATTTCGTTTTCATGGACCACGTGTAACAGGCTCAGAAGGTAATGGTAGAGAGGTATTTCTTTGTCCCTCACCCACTTCTTTCCCCTGCACCTGGAAGAAAAGCTCCACCGCTATCGTGGCTGTAGCCTTGCTAATGCAGAAGCTGCCCAATGGCTACATTGGTGCCTGGCTTTAGCATCTCAGCAGCCATGTTTCCATTTAATTATACCTGCATCTCTTTAGAAAGTGGTTATATTAAAACCTTGGCTGTTTGCTGATGGCAGAAATCTTCTACCCTCACCACAAATAAAAGACAAGGGTATGTATTTTAAAATACTTTAAATAGATGAACTGATCCCAAAGCCTGCCAGACCCCGTTTGGAGGAGGCGCATGTTAATGGTGTGTTTATACACTTAGCAAAATCAACTTCAGGAGTCCCAGGCATTGGGAGCCAGCACCCACACCAGCTTGTAGAGACATGCTGTGTCAAGGGCACAGTGTGGACACCCACTTGCTCACTGGTTTCCACTGGGTTCCTGGCAGCAGCACCCATGGGGCTGGATGGGCTGCCTGGCAGGACCACTGCCCTGGGCGCCAGGCAAAGCTGCTGGAGAGGCTGCCCTTGATGGGCTGGTGGGGTTGGGATGACCCCAGGACCCAGGGTAAAGCTGCTGAAGGCCCAGCATGTTTTGGGGGTCCGTGTGGTGCAGGAGAGGCAGATCCAGTGGGAAGCTCTTCTGTCTAGTCCATCTCCCTCAGCACCTTTGCTTTTCCTTCACCTTCCCGGAAATTCCCCTTCGTCCCAACACAGCAATTTTGGTCTACTGATTTTTTTTTAAGGTCCATTCTACTCTTACCTTGGGGAGTTAACCACAGGCATCTTGTTTCGGATGAAGGCAGTCTTTCTGTCCATAACTCTCATCACCTTTCATAAATAATTTCATGCTGAGGTGTCTGACTTCACCCTGTACATCTCCATGGCTGGGGTGGCAGCAGCTGCAGCGTGATGTGGGACTGGGGTAAGGGGCCATCACTTACCAGTGTCACTGACTGATGGCACTCATGCAGCTCCCTCCCTCTCCTGTGCCTGCTAGGGCTGAGCTGTGAACCAGGCCAAGCCAAATTCCCCATTTTCAGCCTTGGCTTTTCAGCCATCTGCATCCAAGCAGTCAACCTATTGGACAGGTTGGTGCCCCCAGTAAGATGTTGTGGGAGTCACACAAACTCCTTGGGTCTAAAGCTGTAGTGTAACTTGCTGTTTTCCTTGTCACAGATTTCATCTTCCAGAAGGAACTGTTTGCTGCCAGAGACACAGGTGAGCTGAGTGGGCCATGGCACAGGCTTTGTGGATTAACCCCCCTCTTGGGGAGCTCAGCAGGACATGTCTGAGGCATACCATAAACCTGCTCTCATCTCTGAGGCAGGGCACTGGCTCCATGCCATGCTGTTCTAGCAGCGAGTGCTGTGTGTGCATCACTGCTGGGCTCTGCAGCCCCGTTCCCCCAGAAGACCTTTGGTCTCTGCATGCCTCTCCGGGGCACATGAGGTCTGTGCTCCTGCCAGGATGCAGTTTCTAGCCCTGCAAAAAAAGACCATCTCACCCTGGCCAAAGGGCTGTCCCTAGACCTGACCCTGCTTCTCTCTCTGCAGCCTCTGTGCCTCCTCTACTGCTAAAAAAGGGACACAAAAACTGCCTCCAGAGAACTTCTGGGGGAAGGCTGTAGTGGCAGAGAAAGACCAGGAATGCCGTGAGATTTTTGAGCACTAGCCAAGAGCAGTGATGGCCTGGGAAACTGAGAAGGCAGCAAATGCTGCCAGCACAGGCCGGCAAGTCTGATATTCTCCCTTTCTTTCCCCGTTCCCCTTGCAGACTCCATGCACAACCTTTCTGCTCAGCCCTGGCAGGCAAAGATGGCCAACCTGACCTATGACAACTTCACCCTGGGCAACCGCTCCGAGGTGGCCATCCAGCCTCCCACCAACTACAAGACAGTGGAACTGGTTTTCATTGCCACAGTCACTGGCTCGCTCAGCCTTGTCACCGTGGTGGGGAACATCCTGGTGATGCTCTCCATCAAGGTGAACCGACAGCTCCAGACCGTCAACAACTACTTCCTCTTCAGCCTGGCCTGCGCAGACCTTATCATCGGGGTCTTCTCCATGAACCTCTACACTGTCTACATCATCAAAGGCTACTGGCCGCTGGGGGCCGTGGTGTGTGACCTGTGGCTGGCTCTGGACTATGTGGTGAGCAACGCCTCTGTCATGAACCTGCTCATCATCAGCTTTGACCGGTACTTCTGTGTCACCAAGCCCCTGACATACCCCGCCAGGAGGACCACCAAGATGGCAGGGCTGATGATTGCAGCCGCATGGATATTGTCCTTCGTTCTCTGGGCCCCTGCCATCTTGTTCTGGCAGTTCATTGTGGGCAAGAGGACAGTCCCTGAGAGGGAATGCTACATCCAGTTCCTCTCCAACCCAGCAGTGACCTTTGGCACGGCCATTGCTGCTTTCTACCTTCCCGTAGTCATCATGACAGTGCTGTACATCCACATCTCCCTGGCCAGCAGAAGCAGGGTGAGGAGACATAAGCCTGAAAGCAGAAAAGAGAGGAAAGCCAAGTCCCTCAGGTTCCTCAAGGGCCCCCTGGTCAAACAGAACAATAATAACTCTCCCAAGAGGGCTGTGGAGGTGAAGGAGGAGGTGAGGAATGGGAAAGTGGATGACCAGCCATCAGCACAGACAGAGGCCACTGGCCATCAGGAAGAGAAGGAGACATCTAATGAGTCCAGCACTGTCAGTATGACCCAGACCACAAAAGACAAGCCTACAGCAGAAATCTTGCCAGTGGGACAAGGACAGAGCCCATCCCACCCACGGGTGAACCCAACTTCCAAGTGGTCCAAGATTAAGATTGTCACCAAGCAGACTGGGAGTGAATGTGTTACCGCCATTGAGATCGTCCCAGCTAAGGCTGGAGGCTCTAACCACAACTCCCTGGCCAACAGCCGCCCAGCCAATGTTGCCAGGAAGTTTGCTAGCATTGCCAGAAGCCAAGTACGGAAAAAGCGCCAGATGGCAGCCCGAGAGAAGAAAGTCACCCGCACCATATTTGCTATCCTGCTAGCCTTCATACTCACATGGACTCCATACAACGTGATGGTCCTCATTAACACCTTCTGTGAGACCTGTGTACCTGAAACAGTGTGGTACATTGGCTACTGGCTCTGCTATGTCAACAGCACCATCAACCCAGCCTGCTATGCCCTCTGCAACGCCACTTTCAAGAAAACCTTCAAGCACCTTCTCATGTGCCAGTACAGGAACATTGGCACAGCCAGATAAACTGGCACTCAGGGACCACTTCAGTAACATTATGGAAGCCCTTCCCTTTGCCTCCTTTGCCAGCAGGGGTTCCTCTGCTCCCCACTCACAACAGTGCAGACTGTGCAGTGATTGCAGATGATGCCCTTCATCTAATGCTGACAAAGATCCAAGGCACCTCTGAGCTGCAAGTCCTTCCAGGGCCTGGGGACTAGCCTGGGGAGCCAGCAGGAAAGCCAGAGGCAAGAGGAGGAGATGTGGTCACCAGGAGCCCTCCCCAGCTCCATGCTCTTGAGATTGGTCAAATGGCATCAGTGTTTCTCCTAAGACTGGATGCAACTTCTCCCCTGGCTGACTGTCTCCAGAGCATCAGAGCTTGTCTGCATGCAGATGGGCTAATGCTGGATGCTTTCAATGGGCTTTTAAAATGTTTATTACCCAAGAAACGAAAAGAAACCAGGGCCAAACATTTGCTAGACATCTTGTACCAGGCTAGCTCAGACATGCTAATGGGGAGCCCTACTGGCCCAGCCAGGCCCCCTCCCAAGGCAGGCAAGATGGCACCCTAACATGTGGCAAGCTCCTTCCTTTCTCCTCAGAGTGCCATCAGGCATCCTCATGCAGGGACCCAGGGCAGAATTTTTCCCTGGACTTTGGCTCCACTGTCCTCTTCATGCCCTTTCTGTCCTCAGACAGCAAATGCCTGGACAAACAAGCCAAGTATCTCACTCCTGGATGAGGAGTGTGAAGTCCAGTCACCTCCTGTGGTGATGGAAACCAAAACTGCAAAGAAAGCAGTGGTGTGGTGCAGGAGTTAGCTCCACAGCCTGGGGAACGTGGCCCCTGAGAAGTGGGCAGCAGTGACTGTGAAATTAACTGTCCTTGGGTGGGACAGGTGGGACCTGGGGGCCTTGGAGGCAAGTGGGAAGAGAGTTTACAATGTGGCCGAGTTGCCCTGTGTTTCATCCGGACCATGAGCAGGTCCCCAGTCTCCCCATGGTGGGTGTGGGAGGCCTGGTGCATGGCTCTGGAGGCGGGAGAGGCCCTCTCCTGCCCCGGATGCAGCAGGATGCTCCAGGGAGGCTGAAGGAGCCAGTTGCTGAGCTTTGTAAATGGATGTAATGCTGTCGTGGGTGTTGTGGCAGAGCCCTCAGCATGCGGGCTTCAGCCAGCGTCCCAGCCTCCGCCCAGCCCCGCTGTGTGTGCAAACCCAGGCCATCCCAGGACTGCTGCTCAGCTTCTTCCAAAGCCAGGTTTCTGGAAGCATTGGTGGACACAGCCAGGTGTAGACAAGGAATGGGACAGGGCCACTCTAGCACTGGCAAATTTTGTGTCCATATTTCTTTCCCATCCTCACACCAGGATGATGCTGTGTAACCTGGAGAAAGGCTGCCCCAACCCAGATGGAAACCCCTCCACCACTGCCTTTAGGATAATTCACACAGGTGTGCCCAAAATGCCTGGTGGGCTTCTGGGTATATTCAAATGGTTACAACTGTGGCCCAACCCATCCCATCCCAAGACAAATAAAGACCTTGAATCAGAAAACAGCAGCTACAGTGTGAGGAGTAAATGAGTCATCACCTGGGTGCTCCTTCCCAACTTCCCAGTGTCAACTACCGGTGACATTTCCTGCAGTGTGGGTGGCAGCTCCCTCCCTTCTGTCGAGGTTAAGGTGGGGTAGCCTGAAGCGCTGCTGAGAAGAGGCTGTGAGGTCTGACCCATGTGTTTTCTCCAGGACCATGCTCGTGTGGCACCCAGGCAACCACCGCCAGTTGCACAGTAACTTCACTGGTGGTCCCGGTGTGGCCAGCAAAGCTGGGGTTTGCTGGGGTTTCCAGCACAGCAGCACTTCATGGGGTCAACAGGTTGGTTCTGATACTTTTTAAAAAAAGATTTTTATTGGAAAAGAAAACAAACCCCATTTCCAGAAGGAGTGAGAGCTCCCACCCAGCACCAGTGTTGGTGTGGCAAAGGCAGAGGGGCTGCAGCCCTAGTGTGAACACACATGGTTAGAAGGGATAGAGGAGAGGAGACACAGTGGTTCCTGGGGGTGATGGTTGTGTTTACCTCAGCTGCAGGTAATTTGTGCCCTAGCCAAAGGGATGCTAGAATAAGCCTCCTGAGCTGAGAGCAGTCCTCAAGTAAGGGGCAGGAGTAATGGAGTTACTCTGGCATTCAACACCCATCCCTTCCCTCTGTCACTGGTAGCTGGTGGAGGAACAATAAGGCTCCTGGACTTGCCAAAGGATGTGCTAAAGGCAACTCATTTGTGCTGGAGGGTGGAAAAATGTGTGTTCTCATCCCAGCTCTCTGGGCACATCCCAGTGAACCCCAACACGAGCTGAGAGAAGATGAGTGAGAGGCATTGGCAGTGGCAGTGGGGTAGCAAGGACAGAAGCAGCCTCTCCTGCAGGGTGGGTGGATGGGTTTGCTCTCTACAACACTAATGATTAAAACAAGGCATCTCAGCGAAACAGGAGGTCATGGAAAGGAGGAAGGAGGGGAGAAGGAAGACTGTAGCATGGGCCAGCTGCAGCTGGGCATCCAGTCCTGTAGGCACGATGTTTAGGGGCCGATGAAGATGATGGCTTCCTGTTCTAGTCCTTCCCCTTGCCTTTCTTCGCTGCATTCGAGAAGCACAGGAGACAAGAGTTAGTGTATCTGCTGGAAGTCACTGGTCCCCCAGACAGAGCTGTGGTAGAAATGTAGCCAGCACAGCCAGCATGGCACAGCACAGCGGCGGACACATCCTGGCAGGAGGCCACCCACCACGTAAAACCATGTTTTTCATTAGTCCCAGGGAGGAGAGCAGGGGATCCCCATCCCACCAAAACCGGTAGTGACTTGCGGGGGGATCGGGGTTTTTCCTAGCAGCACTTGCATCCCACCCAGCCAGCAGCTGCACTTTGGGGTTGTCACGTGTGCAGCTGCAAAGAAAAGAACAACTTATGTAATCCCCCGCACCACCAGCAAAGCTCAACTCCAATGGGCCAAGATATCTCCGAAAAACCCTTGCCTAGGGTCCCAGCAGGACTCTTCTAGGGACAGGAGTAGTGAGAACTGACCTTTGGACTTTGACTTGATCTTGGAAGAGCAGGGCTTGGTCACAGAGACGATCTCCTCACACTGGGCATTGTACAGGGCTTTCTTCAGGATGCCTGAGCGAGTCTTCAAGCCTGTCTGAGCACTACACCCTCCCCAGCTCTCAAACTTGTACTTGCAGTCAGCTGGATGAGAGGGGACAGGCATCAGAGCTATTTAGGACCTGGTGTGGGCATCAGCCCCCATCACCCACCCCAGCATGGTCCCCAGCCACCCTACCTTCATGTACCCACCTCCAAATTTCTTCTTCCAGTTGCAGGGGATCTTGCACTTGAGCTTCTTGCTCTCATCTTTGCAAGTTCCCTCACGGTAGCCCAGGCCACAGTCCTTACTGTTGGGAACACAAGGTCCCCAGCGCCAATCCTCACACTTGGAGCCATCCTTCTTTGCTTTCTCTGTGAGGAAAAGAGGAGTGGGTGCTCTCTGCAAGGACAGAAGAGCACACCCCAGGCTGCCCCCACCCGACTGGCTCCCTGCCCCGGGCTGCCCCCTCACCTTTCTTGGTTTTGCCAGCCTCAGTGGTGGCAGCCAGCAGGATCAGTACCAGGAGGAGGAGGAGGCCTCGAATTTGCATCCTGCCTGGGAAGGAGGGAGAGGGTGAGATGGGTGGGAGGTTGGGGTGCAATGTGGTGTCGAGCAGAGGGCATAGTGGGCTGTGGGCAGCCTGTGCGGGGGTAAGACAGCAGCTGCCTCCATTGCACACCCCCCCCACGTGTGTGTGTACACCCCTGTGCCCTGGTCATTGCCACCCATTAGAATATGTGCATTAATTGTAACAGGAAGGTTGATTGTGTAGCTCAGTAAGTGGCTCCCACCAGAGCTAGAGGGCTGAAAGATTGTTCCCATCCTTGCAGTCCCCTCATTGCCCTGTGTGTGGTTGAAATGCTCTCCATGGGGACCCCCACACTCCGCACAGCAGCTGGGGAAGGTCCTAAAGTTGGGTGCCTGTGGATTCTTTATTGAGCACCCAGCAGGCTGTCCAGGGCCAGGGGGCACAGCTCCCATAATACCTTTCTCCAGTTCCAGAGGAGGCTGGGGGAAAAGAAAAAAGCCTGGGAAAAACAAACTTGCTGCCAGGCAGGGTCTGAGAGTTAAACCAATGGATTAAACACCAAAAAAAGCAGTGTGGGAGCTTGTTGGAGGGATGGAGTGGGAGTGCTGAGCCCACTGCTGGTGCCACCTATGCATGCAGGGGGGTGCACAGGTGTGCATGCACTTGGAAGCATGTTGGGGACAAGGGTGCACACACTTAAGGGTTTGACTCCTGGGACCCTGCCCTCAACCCCCTGCCCTGGTGGCCTTGGAACAGGTGACAGCTCCCCTCCAGCTGTCACCATGAGACTCTGTGGGATGCTGCTGGCAACACTGGCATCCCAGCTTGTGCATATGTGCAGAGCTGGCATCCCCTTCCCTGCTCCACCAAAGTCCTCTAGGATGCCACCCATATCTGTGTGGCAGCAGCCAGCCAGAAAATAAATTGCACCTGCCCTGGCTCTACAATGGGCTTGATGTGCTTGGCAGGACTGGCCTCTAGAGGACAGGGTGAACTGCAGGCCCAAGAGGACATCAATGCAGGGAAGAACCTGGGGTCAGTGTTTGCTCCCTACCCCCAGGCTCCCCGGGCAGTGTGCCAGAGAGAGCAGCATCCCACATTATTCAGGCTCCAGTGCACTCACCTTTCATGCATCCGCTGCCAAGCTGCCGGCTTCGCTCTGCATTGAACTGTCACAGGGAATTACACAGACTGGCTGGCTAAGGGCACAGTCACAAGGGTGAGATCTGCCTTCCCCCTCACCCAGCCAGGCTGAGAGCCATCCTGCCGAGCACAGCTTGGCTCAGCTCTGTTCCCACCCACCTGCCTTCAAAGAGGACAAGAGCTCAGCCCAGATGGGCTGGTTATAGATGACAAGGCTGGAGCTGAGCTGAGTTACAGACACAGCTGTCCTGCTTTCTGCAGCACCTCTTATAGGGCAGCACCTCTTATGGGGCAGCACCTCTGACATCTGCACATATTCACAGCATCTCTCTGGTTTCAGGTTCTCTGCAAACTTCTTCCATACTTGGCTGCAGAGCATTTCCCTGTGCTCCTTGCACCTACTTCCTAGCCCAGTGCCTTCTGCTCTGGCCCTTCAGACAAGATCTTCAAGCCCCCAGGGCAGACAGCCCTAGTTGCCATGCTCACCCCTGCCTCCTTTCCAGGTATGGACACCGTGTGCTCCCTCTGGGTGCTGTGGGGCCCTGCCCATGTGTGCAGAGGGATGTGAGAAAGGGCACTCTGAGGGCAGACCAGCTACAGCTACTGGATCTGCTCCCAGGCTCTGCCTGGCACATCACATCTTCCAGGTAAAAGTCTTCAGTCATAGCTCATCCTAATGCATTCACAAGGGAAAGCGAGTGCAGTTTTCCAAGTGGTTTTCCAAATAGCCTGATCCCTTCTGAACACTACGCAGGGCCAGATAGTGCCACTGGCTTTTCCTAATGCAGGCCACACACCCTCCCCAGATCCTCTCCCCTTGCTACTGCCCCGATGCACTCCAGGTAGCACGGCAGCTGCTGGGCTTGCAAGACCCTTTGCAGTCCCTTTTCCAGCAGTGGGACCTCTTGGTTGGGCTCAAATTACAGATGACTCTGGCAGAGGTGGGCACGGGACTGTGGTCCTGCCTCTGCGGGCTGAGCTGCTCTGGGCAGGGAGCCCAGCACTTGGGAAGCCCAGCGCTCGGGGAGCCTGTGGCCTGGAGTGCCAAGCACACAGAAAGCATGAAGCTCTCTGCTGCCAGGAAAGGGGAGACTGAGCTTCTCCTCGTGAGCCAAGGCCTTAGCATGATCAGGAAGTTCTGCTGGAGGTGCTGAGGGGAGCAGACCCGGGGGGCTCTGGGGCTTTCCAGCAGGCGGCCTCATCTTCAGCTCGCGAGAGGAGAAGGTGCTCCAGGGAGAAAATGTTCTGCCCGTGCACTAGGGGCAGAGAGGGGAGCACCTCCGCTCTTTGCTCCCACACCAGAGTAGATGCTGTGCGTGGTCCCAGCACAGCGCTTTCCCCTCGGCCCCCGGAGAGGCTGGCAGTGGCCGAGCCCCGCTCCGGGGCACCTCCCCAGGCTCCAGTCGGTGCATCTCCCACCAGCTGAGTTCTCCCCGAGAGACAGTGGGGTGCTTCCCAAGAGGACTGGGGCTAAGACACCAGGCCACTGCTTCAACCCGTCTGCTCTCCAGGTGCCCTGAGTCCCTCCTAAACTCCATCCTCCTGCATCTCCGGGCTCTTTCCCAGTTCTCGCAGGCGATCCCGCACCCCAGGGTACGCCGCCCCCGGCACCCCTGCCCCAATCGCCCTTTTCTGCAGCTTCTCACCAGGCAGGACTGTGTTCTCCACCAAGGCAAAGCCCCTTCCCCCTGCGGGGAACCCTCAGCCTGGATTACTGCCGCCTCGCTGGGGAGGTGAGGGGGAAGTCGCCTCTCGCCTCCCCGAAGGCGCCCATCTCCGCGGCGTCGGGCGGGCAGTGCCGCCGTCCACGGGGGCTTGGGGTGGGGGAGCGACCCCGAGTGCTGGGGTTGGGGGGCCACACTCACCTGCGGTGCGGAGCGGAGCAGCGCGGTGCGGAGCTGCTGCCTTTGTGTGGCGGCCGCGTGCGGATCCCCTGCGCAGCGCACAGCGGCCCCTGACGTCGGGCTCGGCTGGCAGCAAAAAGGTGGGTTTTTTAGCCAAAAAACTTTTCGCAAGCTCCTCCTCTGCCCCCCTAGCCCCCCGGGCAGGCAGAAAAGGCAGGGCGGCGGAGGGGGCAGGCTGGCCCCTCGGCCGGCGGGGAGGGGGAACGCGGGCAGGCGGTGGCTCGCTGGTCTGGGGGGTGTGCTGGGCCCGGGGGCGTCAGGTCCCGCGGGGCACGGCCCCTGCCCCCTGCCCGGTCTCACCTTAACGCAGTGCTCTCCCACTCGCAGCCACTGCGTGGTACCAGGGAAGCTGCGAGGATTCAGCTTACCACGCACCCCAATATCACTGAGTGGCCGAAGGGGTGCACAGCTGAACAGCCGGTTAGGGTCTCTCCTGGGGGCTGCCGCTCTGAGACACGCTGGAAGGTGGTCCTGGGACCTCGGTGGAGTGAAGGGAACCATACCGTGTTTCTGCCAGCTCCGTAGATGCCTCTTTCCCCATCAAGGCCACTGGCATCGATGGACCGACCTTTCGTGGTCTCTCCCTGCTTGCTCTGCCCCTCGTGGGAGGGTACTGGGGGGGAGGTAGTTGCTCAGTACCCAAAGCAGCACATCACTAACATGCTGGCCCAAGCATCTCTCCAGACCATCCCTTGTGACCTGCCTGCCGGTCCCCAGCTCAGCCATGCTGCAGCTCTTCTCCTTGGACCAAGCTGCGGTAGCAGACTGCTGGGGGGGGATGAAAAGGACCTTGCCGACATGACTGCTCCCTTCCCCACATCTGCCCCCTTTTCTTAGGAGGTGAGCTGAGGCAGGGGCCAAGCCAATTCTCCTCTGGAGTTAGCAGTCAGAAAGGCGAGTGTCATGCCACAAGAATCGGGCTGTGGTGGGGAATGGAGCCGTTTTGCCATCGTTATTCTGGAAGAAGGTTGCTGAAAGCAGGACCGGCACAGGCAGGGTTGCAGGGCAGGAGGGGCTGGTTTTTATGAGCTGCTTTGAAACCAGCTCTCTTCTCGTGAGATCAGTGCATTTAACTCACACCCTGCCAGTAGTTTCCTGAACATCTGCAGAGGTTTTGAGGAGGCTGGCAAATGTGGGAACATGGAATCTCCCCTGCCTGCTGCATACACAGCAACAGGTACTGCTCTGGGTGGTGAGGGGTCTGGACATGCTGGGCTGTACGTTTGAGGCCAGGATGCAGAAATGGATCCTGACAGCTGGGCAGGTAGCAAGGCTAACAGCCTCCCCCAATTGCTGGGCCTTTAAACTAAAGCTGAAGAAAGCTGCCAAGAAAAACTTCACTGTAAAAAACATGGGGAAGGACCTAGGTGTGCATCGCGTTTGCAAGTCTGAGTTAAGGGACTGTGATGAGCAAACCAAGGCCTGGTAGAAACCTTAAAGAACTAGGTGTGGAGTGAGCAATGCTGCTTTTCTTCAGCTGTCTCTGGCCAGGAGCTGGAGATCTCGCTGGGGTCCCCAGGGCAGAGCAGCATAAGGTATGGTGAAATCCTGTGCAAACTTTCACTCCTTCCATTTCCAGCCATTCCCAATCCCCTCCTGTTGCCTTCTTGGGCTGGAGACCAGGAGACAAGTGCTGGACATGCAGGAGAGCAGGGATGCATTGGTGCACATCAGTCTCAGCAGTGCCTGTGCTTGATCCCTTTGGGCCCTTTCTGAGGGATGTGGAGGAAATGGCTCCTCACCCAGCTCAAACAAGCAGCAGGCTGTGTTTGCAGAAAGGGGCCTCATGCTGAGGGAAGGAGGAAAAAGAGGGAGTGTGACCAAATCAGGTGCATTTCCCTGCAATTGCTCAAGCTTTTTACCTCTAAAAATGTCACAAGCTAATTCATGGCATGTCAGCTCTGCTTTGAACATTCCATCTTTGGTCAAAGCCTGCTCCTTGGGAAACTGATAGTGCACGGTGCAGCACTGCTGCACATTGGAGAGGGACGATGTTTTCCTTGTTGAGGTGTGTGGCAGGTAATCATTAACAGAGCCAACTGCTGTCATCCCAGCTTGCTTGCATGGCCTTCTCCAGCCTGCACCCATGCACCCTGTGTATATATCCCCAGGTGTGTTTCCATCCCACAGGAGGGCAGACAGACCTCCAAACCTCCAACACCTGACTAAAAGGGAGTAAGGGGAGATACCAAGGCCCTCTGCCTCAAAGCTACACTGCCCCTTTCCTAACACCCCTCATCACAGTGATTATGTTACAGCTTCTCTTCCTCACCATATACCTGACACTGGGTCAGGTGCAAAAGTAATTGCCGTGGTTACTGACAATCCTCGCTGTTGAGACACAGGCCAAGTGCTGGGGTCTGGGCACTGAAGCAGATTGGGCCCCCTCCTCCCAGTTGCATGTAGGCCGGGTCCCAGGGGAGGCCAGGACAATTTGGTGTGCCTTAGACCTGCTACAGATCCCCACTGTTAGCTCTGGGCAGAAGCTGAAAGGTTGAAGACCATAAAGAGAGACAGAGGGGTGGAAGGGGCAATGCAGCCGGGGAAGGAGGCTGCTTCTCCAAGCAGAGAGGGGGCAGCAGGATTTCCAGGCAGGCTGCCAAACTGCCCTCAGGAATCCCAGTTCAAGGTACAAGTATAGCTCCTCATCACCCACCATGTCCATCTCTGGCTCCATCATCAGCACTCCGCCAGCCAAAGTGATTACATCCCTTCTCCAAAGGAAACTATGCAGGAGAGATGGTGCTGGCCACAGTCATCCTTAATAGTCTGAGGCTGGAAGCAGAAGTGTCCCTAATCCTCTGCTTTTGTAATTGGAGAGCAGTCCTCCCACCAGAGCAGCTGGTGGGAGAGATAATCCCTGCCCTCAGTGCTCAGCACCATACACAGGACCAGTGGAAAAACAATAGGAATAGCCCCTGGCAGGCTCATCTCCTGCAGAGTAGCATGGCTAGGGACAGCTCACCACAAAAAAAGGCCAACAAATGGTTTTAAATTGGAGGCTGGATGCCACTGTAGTACCCACCACCCACCGATTGCTGTGGGCTGCACAGGGCAGGGCAGGGCAGCCGCTGGGGCTGCTGCCTTTGCCCCAGGGAGCAATAGCAGGCTGCCTGCTCCTAACTCACAATTCCAAGCCCTTCTGGATCACTTGGGATGGCAGTGAGCTTTCTCCCTGTTCTGTGTTACACCGAGTATTGATGTATGACACAGAACAGGGGAGAAGGTCCCTAGGGACAAAGACCCCATATCCAGCAAAGTTCCAGAGGGATGCTGTGCAGGGAAGTGGACAAGGACCTGGGCCCACAGGGAACACCCAAGAGTACCCCCCAGGGTAGGATGGGGGCAGGGGCCTTGGGGTATGACCTTGTTTGAGCTGTGCAAGGCATCACTGGTGCAGTACCCTACGGATTCTTGCGGATGCAGCAGGAGATGGGAACTAAAACATCAATCTCTTTATTTCAATGGCAAGAAACAACAACATCCAAACAGTCAAAGTTGAAAAGCAATGGGAACACAGGCTTGTGCCAGGCCCTGGACCTGCTGGAGCCAGCATCCTCACGGAGTTACAAAAATACAATCCTACAACAGCATCTAGGAAACACAGACCCAGGTATTGCACAGAACTCCTGCCCTCAGTGAGCAGGGCAACCAACGCCCCCTCCGTCTTCAAAATACCAGCAGGCTTGGAATTGCACAGCAACTCAGCTCACGCATGCACGGAGGGGCCAGGTGGGGAGGGGGACAGTGTCTCTCAACTACCTGTACAAAAACTATAAGGGAGAAAGGGAGAAGCTGGCGCTGTAGATGCCTCTGGGCCAAGCTGGGTGTCCCATCTGGGAGTGCAGTAGTGTGGACCTCTGAGAAGATGACAGTGCCTTTTTTGTCACTGGCCTGCATCTTAACTCTGAATGCATTAAGATGCAAACATTACTAACTGCCAGTGCCACTAGCCCCTGCCACTCTGCACTGCCCTCTGCCTCTGTTCCCCACTACAATATCCCCCATCCTCAAAGGGAACTCTGCCCCTGGCCAAAAAACCTGAAGAGTATTCTGGTTCTCTGTGGTATAATCACCTTTTTTTGGTATTGGTATTAGGAGATTCAAATGGTGCCATCTGGCACTACCCAGTGGGCACAGCTGGGTGTAAGTGCAGAGGGACTGTACAGACCCCACGCGGCAGCAGCAGCATCCTTTCCCAGGATCCAAGCTGTGAACAGCAACCCACTTCACTGCCCACGTGAAAGTGCCAAGCAGGTTTGCCAGGCCCAGAGCTACCAGCTTTCCTCCTCTGCTGGCCCCTCCTGGTCTCAGAGAATGCCAGTTCTCTAAAAGCCTTGCTGAAAGGCTGGCTTGATGCCTCTGCATCAAGTGTCCACTGCAGGGGAGATGGGTTGTGGTGCCTCATGCTCCATGGCAGGCCCCCCTGCAGGCGCGACTCAGGGCTGGGAGCCCATATGCTTCCCAGGTTCCTTGTTCTGGAGAAAAAAACTGGAGACAGTGAGCTGGTGGCCTGTCCAGGGACTTTGTGCCTTGGCTGGGTGAGCTCTGAAGTTTTCCCTGCAAAGTCCTGTGCCCAGTTTAGGGAATGGCAGGACTTGGTTGGACTCAGAAGATACATGTTGCCAGGTTGAGGGGCATGGGGGGGAATCCCTGAGAGCAGCACTGACCCCAGCATTGCTCCTCCAGCCCCATGCACAGACTAGCATTGAAGGGGAAACTGAACCAGGGAGGGCAGCTGAATCCAAGTCAGCATTTGGGAAATATAACAGGCTTCACCACAGGCACTACTCAGGGTCAAGTAGCTCTCCACCATGGCTACATGCTGCAGTAGGCTCACAGAGAGATGCCCAGCAGACACTGGGTGTGCAAGCTGTCCCACCCAGCCCTGTGGAGGGAAGGATGGTGGGACGGCTTGGTAGCCTTCCTCTGTGCCATCCATACCCTGAGCCAGAAGAGGCAGGGGCAGTAAGTTGTGCTGCTTCCCTTGCAGCAAAGTCTGAGGCTCATGGCCTCTGCTGTCTTCCTGCAGAACCTGTGCCTCCTGCAGCTGTGCCAGACAGGAGAGGAGGAACAGGACCTGAACGTAGCCAAGCACCTAAAAGAGGGGCACTGCCAGCAGAAAGAGGGGCTGAGGAATGATATCCCACAAGGATCATAGGCAGGAGCCTGCAGAGGGGGCACTGGCATTACTCCCGTGCACAAGAGTGACTGGGGGCTTCAGCCTGGCTTGCCTCAATATGGCCAGGGGATAGAGCCCATCTAGGGCAAGGAATGTGGTGAATGAGAGGTGAAGGAGTGGACGCACAAAGAATCAGGCTTCAAGTCCGAAATACCCACTGTCCTCATAAACAGAGTCCCAGCCCAGCCTGGGGCAGAACTCTGCTGTATCCATCTCCAAGGACCAGGCTGATATCTAGGGAGGGTTGGGCCAGACTCATAGCTCTGCCAGTTGGCATTGTCCTCTTGTCCTACCCAAGCTGGCTTGGGCTAAGGCACGCCAAGCACTACACAGCTGTCTCCTGGTCCTCCCGCTGGATCATCTGGTAGTGCTGTCGGTTCTCGAGGTAGGCAGCTAAGTCAGGGTCATTGGCTTTCTCAGCACGGTGCTTTGGGGTGTCTCCCTGCATAGGGGAGGCAAGAAGTCAGTGCCAAACACTGCCTAAATACTGCCTTGGCACCCAAAGGTGCCCTCATTCCCCCATGCAACTGGGTCCAGCAGAGCCTGCAGCCAAGCCCCAAGGCAGGTGGTAGCCAAATGCCCATGTGCTCACCATGGGATGAGAGTGTGGTCCTGAGGAGCCTGACTGCTGCAGGACTGGAAACTGTCCCCTGAAGGGCCATCAGTTCCAGGCATGGCTAGGACAGAGACTGGCCCTGGCCATCACCAGCCACCCAAGAGGAGACAAAGGCTGTTCCCCAAGACCTGCTCTTTCCCTATGCTGGGGAGGCAGGAGGGAAAGGGTGAGGAATGAGGGGTATGTCTGGGGAATGCCCAGGAATACCAACCCCCCTTCTCTCTCTCAGCCTGGCTAGCACTCCTGCTCGCTCCTGCTCCCGGAGGAGGATCACATTTCACCAGCTTATTGCAGCCATCTGGACTGTGTCCACTAATGAACTCCCGCACTCCATAAAAAGCAAATCTGTTAACAGCTCCCAGCTCCATCTCCTCTCCCTCCCCTTGCTCCTTCTCACCAAGTGCCCAGGCTCTGCCGTGCCACTGAGAAAAGCCACAGAAACCTGGCACTCTGCCACTGCCATTCAAAACCAAGGCTGGAAGGGACACTCGGCCTGCCCCACTCATTCCCCAGTGCCCAGCAGGCCACAGGAAGCTGCAGCAGGGTGCCTGGTCCTCCAGAGCAGCCCACAGCCACATTTCTCCATCAGGAACAATGATCAGACATGTGGAACCTCCACTGGGCCTGGATAGGGCTGCCCACAAAAGCCCACCCATGGCTGCACCAAGAAATCCCCTCTTTTGCATGTGTGCCCCAAGACTGGGCACACCCCATGGCCCTGCACACATCCCCCAGCAGCCACACCATCAGGGGGACGGAGACCACTCTGCTTCGGTGCTGGTTCTCCTCAGGGACCTCCTCCCCACAGCCCCCGAATGCAATCGCTCATTTAACGGAGGAGGAATTGAGCTTCTTTCCTGTCCCCCTGCAGAAGCCCCTCTGCAATGCTGCCTGCAGCCTGAAACCAGAGCTGCCAGGGCCTCTCTGCCCGGCTGGGCTCAGGCATGCCAACTGATTAGGCTCAGCCTCCCTCACCACTGCAGGGAGTGGGATCAGCCCACTCCGAACCTGTGCTACAGGTCTCACGCCGGGGTTTCTAACGAGGTGGGTCCTGCCTGTGCAGGCAGGCTGTGACCCAGAGCCCATGTGAGGTCAGTGCAGCGGCACAGAGGGGTCCCCAGACAGCTACAAACCCTGACATGCACAGGCACGTGCAAGCCCACTCCCTGGAGCAGGCAGCATGCCTGAGTGAGGCTCCCTTTTGTGCTGGCCGGCTGGGGGCTGTTCCCCTCCTTCAGGCAAATGAGGGGGCTGGGGACAGAGAGGAGCTGTGCCCCCAGATCTGCTCTCTCCTCATGCCTCTGCCAGCCAAGTCTCCATCCAGCCTAGCCCCACTCTGGATGCTGTGCAAAGCCTAAGCCTTAGACAGGACCAAGGAATAGAGATGGGGAGCCAGAAATTATCTGTACAGCATCTCCCTGGCCACTGGCAAACTGGGATTGTCTAAATTTGACCTCCAAGCTCCACCAGCTCCAGCAAGTTTGCACCCCTCAGCTGGGCTCTGAACCTGTGCCCCAGACCTGTCCAGATTGGACCTTCTTGGCTTGTTCTACATCTTTTCTCTTACAGCCCATCACTACAAGTCTCCACCAGACAGATCTGACCACATTCTCTCTGCTGCATGCCAGTCCTAGGAATCTCCTGTATCAAAATATGGCCTCAAGCCCCCCCCTTCTGCGGCATCTCTGCCAGGGCTGGCACAATTCCCTGATGCCAAGGCACAGCTCAATTAACACAGCATGTAAGGGAAAGTGCTGCCACTGCCTGCTCCTGCTCCCCACGGGCCAGCTTCACCCACTGAGAGGAGCTCCCAGCTCCTCCATCATGACTGCCTGTGGGGGAGAGTGGGGCGAGTCTTGCAGCTGGGAGGGAGCTTGCAGGGAGAATGTCCTTGCTCTGACCCCGGAGGGTGGGAAGGGGGAGACAGGGATGAGACATTCCAGCCCCTCGCTTCTAATTTAATAAAACAACAGGGAGAGAAGTGCAGCGAGGAGAGGGATTTAACCCCTCTGTAGCTGGACTCTGCTGGGCAAGCATGTGTGCTCCATGTTAGGTCCTTTCTGGCTGGCAAACACCCACCCAAAGCACCCTTGCTCTGCTCTCCTGCTGGCCCTGCTCCTGCCAGCCCTCTGGTCACCCCAGAAAGCCCCACTGCCACCCCCTCCACTGTCACCTGCAGGTCTGTCTTCATGAGCGAAGCCCCGGCCTCCACGATGTAGTGGCAGATAGTGCGCTGGCGTAAGGCTGCAGCCTGGTGCAAGCTGGTTTCACCGCTGGGGAGGAGAAAGCGGGAGATGTGAGATGTCCCCCCAAATGGGGACAAGCAGCACATGCGGGTGGCAGCGAGAGACAGCAATTCAGCGGCAGCAGAAGCTGATGGTGGGTTGTGTGCTTGCCCAGAAAGCCCTGGCAGAAGAGGGGGTGATACACAGGGGCAGTCAGTCCAAAACGGACTGGAATCATGGCTGGTAATTAGAGCACAGGCAGCTGAAGTGCCCAAATGACCGGTCACCTCGCAGAGGGTCTGGCCAACAGGTAACACAAGTTGGTCAGCAACTTACTTCTCCTCCTCTGTGGCATCAAGGATTTCTGAAGGGGCTGTGGAAAGAAAGAGTGCAGGGTGAGTGAGACCCGCTGCAGGGCAGAGACAGACCTACCTACTCCCTAGTCACATTCTGCATTGTTCCATAGAAGCTGCTATTTTCATGCTGCCTGACAAAGTCCCAACTCCAAAGCACTCAAGTCAGCAACAGCATCTGAGCCCAGTTGATCCCAGGGAGGAAGTGTTGGTTGTGGACTCATTATAGAGAAATATCTAAATAAAGCAGCCTGTATTTCAGTGGGAGCTGAAAAAATTGGGAGCTGCCAAAAACAACAGGTCAGCTGCCCCGATGGCAGAAGCAGGACACTGAGAAATGTTTCCCAGAGACATGCTGGGTCCTGCCAGGATGCAGGAACAGCCGTGGGGACACCCCAGTACTGGCAAACAGATGCCAGAAGGGTGATGTAGCAAACCCAGAGGGAAGGGATCTAAGACCAGGAGCACTCCCTCCGAGCAGAGGGCTGGGCTTTTTAGCTGCCAGGCTCCTTTGCTAAAGGTGGCACTCTTGTCCCCAGCTCACCGTTCTCGATGATGTATCTGACGATGTCCTTGCTCCCTGATTTGACGGCATGGTGGAGGACAGTCTGGCCTGAGGAGTCTCGCACCATCAGGTCTCTTCCAGCTCGATGCAGCTCTTGGAACTACAAGATTCCCAGATTGCTCAGGATGAGTTGCCCTTCCCAGCTCCAAGACCCAAGCCCTGGCACTGTGTCCCTGAAGTGCCTGACAGGTTGTGTGGATATTTGAGGCTGGCGGGGAGCTTTGTCCAGCTCAGCAGTGCTGCCAAGTCCCTTTCCTATGCGTCCCCCAGGAAAGGAACACAGGTTCTTGCCAGAAGCCTGCCTGTTTTCCAGTCACCACTCCTGAAGGAAGGCCCTTGACAGGAGCTGCTCCAGGGCAACTGGGGTTCGCATGGCTGGCAGGGCTTCCCTTAGCCTGAGGGGCATGCCAGCTGAGAAGGCTGCAGGGAGGCTGCCCAGAGCCAGCCCTGGCTGCTCATCGCAGCAGGCTGTAGGAGCACCTACCTTGCTGAAGTTGCCACCCTTGGCAGCTTCTATTAGAAGATCATCTGCAAAGAAGGGAGATGTATCAGTGTCAGAAAAGTCAAGCTGTAACACAATTTACTTAATGCTGGAGACAAGGGTTGGGCACCAGAGGTGTGGAGCAGTCTGCTAAGGGTACAGTGCAAGATCCTCCAGGTGCTAATCCCTTGGTCAGACATGGCTCCTCCACCTTCAGGAATGTAAGGGACAAGTCAGGGGAAAGAAGGAGAGATCACATAACTGGGGGTGCAGCGAGACCTCAGCCCCTGTGAGGTGCATGTGCAGGGGGAGTAGTCTCTGCCCATGAGCAGGATAACTTGTGATGGAAGTGGGGAGCAGATCTCCTGGGCATCAGCCAGCGGCCAAGATACTCCTCACCAATGACTCACTCACACTTCCAGGCTCTGATCAAGCTTCGGGAAACACTTTCCATTTGCTCAGCTTGGTGAGCCCCCTGTCTTGTGTTCCCACCTCCCCAGTTGCCCAGGGGAGACAGCCTCCCAAACCAGCCTAGAGTGCTCAGCTCTGCAGGTGGGAGATTAACCCCTTGCCACATCATTTCCTGCACAGTGGAGCCGGGAAGGTGCCTGGCTGGGCTGCTCCACTAGTCACTGTCAGGTGCCTCCTGCCCACCTCTGGAGTCACCTGCCCACAGGGCTCCCTGCTCCCACTAGCACATGGGCAGCAGGGCTCCTACCTGCTCACCAGGGAAAGAACTGGCCAAAAAAAACATGGCAGGAAAACAAAAAAAGCATGACCTGAGAGGGTGTGACAGGGGCTGGGACACAACTCACCTCTGTGTGGGAGGCAGCGCTCAGGCTCAGCGCTGGAAGGGAAGAAGAAAAGGTGTAACTAACTCTGCCAGTCCTGGCAGCAGATCACCCAGAAGTACATGACGTGGGTAGAGGAATGGCTGTGGAGAAACCTGCCTGTGGCACTCCTTCAGCAGGCAGGAGGAGAAGCAGACCAAGAGACTGTTCTTTGGCCATGTCATCTACTTCTTCCCTGATCTGGGTTCTTCCCCATCCCCACTCCCATTTCTACTGCTGCTCCTAGCTCCGTTGCTCTTCCATACCTGAGGCTGGCCTTAGCTGGACTGAAAGACACCCATGTCTTTTGCCCCATGGGCCAGGTGCTGGAGCTTTACCCCAGGCCTCAGTCACCTGGTGATGTTCCACTGCTTATAGCAGCACTGGCAGAGGAACAAGGAAGACAGGATGGCATCTCACCCATTGGTTTAACTCAGCACTGAATTCCTGCTCATTTCCCGGGAGCCCCTCTGTAATCTGGCCCAGGGATCAATGTTGTGAAGCCAACCCTGCTTCTCTCATCACTGCCCATCCTTCCTGAGGTACCCCATTCCAGACTCACCTGGGGGCAGGAGAAGAGGGTGGAGAGGAGGAAGAGGAGGGGAATGCAAAGTGGTGTCCAGGGGGTGTGGCAGATGAGTCCACGAGGTCGGGCATGGCAGGAGAGGTGCTCACAGTCTGGGTGATCACCAGCTCTGGGTCCAACACATAGAGCTCGTCCTGAGAGATCTCTGTCACATAATTCAGGTGCTCCTGAAAGACACAAGTCAGGCCTCCTCAGAAGCAAGACTGCCTTTTGCATAGCTCCATCCCCTCACAACCCACGCCTTGCAGCCTACCCACTTGCTCAGCAAAGTGGTGGCTTGAAGAGTCCTGTGCCCAGGAACCTTCACATCTCCTTGTCCTTTTCAGGCTTCCTATCGCCTTGCCAACTTATCAACGCTGTAAACCTCATCTCCATGTCCTCTTCTCCAGATCACTGGGGAAAGCATCTAATGTTGGTGAAGATGACCCCAGTCAGTGAGTTCCCTGACCAGTCTTGCTATGTTTGCTATTCCTTACCCACTCCACTCTAGGGCCCTGTGGGCAGCTTCTAAGCCAAGGCTCTGTGCTACCAGCCACACTTTCTCTCTTTTCTCCAGGAACCTGGAGGTGCTGGGGCTGGTCCTGAACCAGGCATGTCATGCCATCCCTTGGGGGATGCCACAGGGCAGGGCAGCAGTGCGAGACCTGCGTGACCCCAAGTCTATGCCTGCCTGTTGGTCTGCATGAAGGTGGGACACCCAAGCGCCTTTCCAGCAGACGCCAGGGGGATGATGGTGGAGGATGAGGCTGCACTCACCTGTGCACGGTCTATCCTGTAGAACCGATTGGCTGTGGTTGCTGTAAGACAGGGACAGAACGAGACAGGGTGATTCTTGGTGTGAGACAAAGGAGACAGCCACTTTCCACCACTGAGTGACAGTGAGCTATCCAGCCACTTCATGGCTTGCACAGAGGGCACAGCAAAGCAAACAGCACTCCCCGACCAGAAGCTAACAACTTCCCTTTTTGACTCTGCTGCTTTCTTCTTCTTGCCCCTGTGACCATCATGCCCCTGTGAAACATGCCTTTGCTTCCTATGCCCCCCTCAATGACTCCTGGCAGGGAGCTACAGGGAAGGCAAGAACACATCTAGCTGATGCCATGCCTTTCTGGTGGCTTTTGTGTGCTCTACCATTATCCTAAGCAGACGAAGCTCAGGGCTGTGCAGTGCACATCTCAGTATTCACTTACACCAGGTGAGGAACTGCTGTGATTAACATGGTGCACCATGTTAATGTCGCACAGTGCTCAGAAGTGGGGGCACTACGGGGGGCTGGGAGAAGAGGGAGCTCAGCCTCCTGCTGACTTGACTGAGTAAGGTCCCACAGACTTCCATGAGGCCACGCAGAGCATGTGACTGCAGGCACAACAGAGCATGCCACCACCAGCTGTAGATCCAAGACCCTGTCTCCTAGGATGGCAGGAGAGCTTCAAACCAGCCTCCAGCCTGTCTGAATGGAGTCCTCTTCCTTAGAGAAGAGATCACACAGGGGGAGAGGAGGTCCTACAGAGCAAGTGGCTATGCTAGAGCCAGACACATGCAGCCACCACTGCTGGGGGAGCAGGGAGGGGTTGAGGACTTTGGACACCACCAAGGGAGAGCAGGACAGGTAAGAGTACAGTGCCAAGACAACTGGGTTCCCATGCAGGGCATCAAGCATTTCCCCTATGTCCTGCCAGGCTGCTACTGTCACTCCAGGAGAGGTTGCTGTCATGGGACCCTTGGGGCCCCAAGGAAGTCTTTCTGCAAACAGAGTCAGGATGTGCCAGAGCAGACGAGAGAAATGAAAGAGCCACGTTTATCCTGTCCTGGCTGGAGATTTACAGCCAGGGAGCTACTGTTCAAGGCCTATAATTTAGCCACTTGAACGAGCCTGTGCTGTGTTGAATGAAGCTCTGGCGTCTGACACATTTTTCCAAGCTCAGAATCTACTGCTGGGAGATTAGCAGGAGAAGAGGAAGTGGCCCTGGTACAGCAGTCCTGGTAGTGACACGTGGGAGTAGCAGCACCAGCAACCCCACATGCAGGGCTGGAACCTCAAAGGGAGAAATTGCATCCTCTCTGCCTAGTACGAGGTTTCCCAGGCCCACCTTTCAACCCACGGCTGTGCTCTGCTGTGCTCTATACCCTGCTGCTGGGAAGTCAGGGAGATGAAGTGCCACCAATGGGCATTTCTCTCAGCCAGCTTCCAGGTACAGAGGGAGCCTCTTAGTCAGTGAAGGCAAAGGGAGAGGAGAAAGCTACTTTTCTGGCAGGGTGGAAGAAGCAGCCAGAGCTCAGCAGGGGAGCATGCTCCCCTACAGCACTGAGATGCTGATGGTGTGCCTGGCTCCCAGCATGAGGAGCAGGGGGGCCCCCTGCCTGCATGACACAGGAGAGCAGCCCTAGCAGAACACAGGCTGCCAAGCTGCCTTCAGTCCGAGGGCAGGAGACCAGCAGACATCCCTTGCTTCACTCCTGGTCAGCAGCCAAAGACATGGCCTGGGGCAAAGCACTGCTGTGCTCGACCCCAACATCCATAGGTTCCAAGCATCACATGGCTCCCTGTGGCTTGTCACTGAGTATCTGTCCTCTCATCCCCCAGATTCACAGAATCATCAAATTGTTTATGTTGGAAAAGACCCTTAAGATCATTGAGTCCCACTGTTAAACCAACACTGCCAAGTCCACCACTAAACCATGTCCCTAAATGCCACATTTACACATCTTTTAAATACCTTTAGGGATGGTGACTCATCTGCTTTCCTGGGCAGACTGTTCCAATGCTTGACCACCCTTTCAGTGAAAAAATTCCTCCTAATATCCAATCTAAACCTTCCCTGGCACAACTTGAGGCCATTTCCTTTTACCCTGTCACTTGTTACTTGGGAGAACAGGCCAAACCCCAACTGGCTACAACCTCCTTTCAGGTAGTTAAAGAGAGAGATAAGCCTTAGCCTCCTTTTTTCCAGGATAAACAACCCTAGCTCCCTCAGCCATTCCTTCTATGGCTTGTGCTCCAGAACCTTCACAAGCTCCATTGCCCCTCTCTGGACATGTTCCAGCACCTCAATGTTTTTCTTGTAGCAAGGGACCCAAAACCGAACACAGGATTTGAGGTGTGCCCTCACAGTGCCAAGTACAGAGGGACAATCACTGCCCAAGTCCTGCTGGCCACACTATTTCTGACACAAGACAGGATGCCATTGGCCTTCTTGACCACCTGGACACACTGCTGGTCCATATTCAGCCAACTGTTGAACAGCACCCGCAGATCCTTTTGGTTGGGCACTTTTCCAGCCACTCTTCCCCCAGCCTGTAGCAATGCCTGAGATTGTTGTGACCCAAATGCAGGACCTGGCACTTTGCACTGTAGAACCTCATATTGCTGGCCTTGATCCACCAATCCAGCCTGTCTAGATCTCTCTGCAGAGCCTTCCTATCCTCCAGAAGATCAACACTCCTGCCCAACTTGGTGTTGTCTGCAAACTGACTGAGGGGGCACTTGATCCCCTTGTTCAAATAACTGATAAAGCTAATAAACAGGACTGGCCCCAATACTGAGCCCCAGGGAATGCCACTAGTGACTGGCCACCAGCCGGGTTTAACTCCATCCACCACCACTCTCTGGGCCTGGCCATCTAGCCAGTTTTCTACCCAGTGAACAGTGCAGCTGTCCAAGCCACGAGCAGCCAGTTTTCCCAGGAGAATGCTGTGGGAAACGGTGTCAAAGGCTTTACTGAAGTCTAGGTAGACAACATCCACAACCTTTCCTTCTTCCACTAAGCAGGTCAACTTGACAAAGGAAGAGATCAGGTTAGTCAAGGAGGGTTTGCCTTTCACAAACCCATGTTGGCTGGGCCTGATCCCCTGGTTGTTCTGCCTGTGCCACATGATGACACTCAGGATGAACTGCTCCATGACTTTTCGTGGCATGAAAAAGGCCTGTTGGGCTGACAGGCCTGTAGCTCCCCAGATCCTGCTTCTGGCCCTTCTTATAAATGGGCATCATATTTGCTAACTTTCAGTCAACTGGGACCTCGTTAGCCAGGACTGCTAGTAATTGACTGAAAGTGGCTCAGTAAGCACTTCTGCCAGCTCCCTCAGTACCCCTGGGTGGACCCATCCAGTCCCATAGAGGTGTGTGTCTAAATGGTGTAGCATTTCCCCTTGGATTATAGAGATTTCATTCTAGTCCCTGTCTCCGTGTTCCAGCTCAGGGGGCTGGGTATCCTGAGAACAACTGGTTTTACTATTAAAGACTGAGGTAAAGCAGGCGTTAAGTACCTGAGCCTTTTCTTCATCCTTTATCACTATGTCTCTCCCTTCATCCAAAAAAGGATGGAGATTCTCCTTAGCCCTCCTTTTGTTGTGGATGTATTTGTAAAAACATTTTTATATTTTAATCTGGCAGTAGCCAGATTAAGTTCTCATTGGGCTTTGGTCTTTCTAATTTTCTCCCTCCATAAGCTCATGACATCCTTGTAATCCTCCAGAGTTGTCTGCCCCCTTTCCCTTCTCCTGAGTTCCAACCAAAGCTCTGTCTTCAGCCAGCTTGGTCTTCTTCCCTGCCAGCTCATCTTTTTGTACATGGGGATGTACTTCTACTGAGCCTCTAGAATTTCCTTCTCAAAGTGTGTTCAGCCTTCCTTGACTCCTTTGCCCCTTTAGGACTGACTCCCAAGAGACTCCATCAGCAGTCTCCTTAACAGGCCAAAATCTGCCCTACAGAAGTCCAAGATGGCAGTTCTGCTGGCACCCCTCCTTATGGCGCCACAAATCAAAAACTATCGTTTTGTGATCATGATGCCCAAGGTGGCTTTGAACTGTCACATCACCCACCAGCCCTTTCCTGTTCACAAACAGCAAGTTCAGCAGGCCACCTTCCCTAGTTGGGAAGGTATGTCAGGAAGCTACCTTCCACACACTCCAAAAACTTCCTAGACTGCTTCATCTCTGCTGTGTTGTACTTCCAGCAATCATACAGTAAGTTGAAGTCTCTCACAAGAACAAGGGCTGGTGATGGTGAGACTTCTCCCAGATGCTTACAGAATACTTCATCTGTCTCTTTATCCTGGCTGGAGTCTATAACAGATTCCTACCAGGATATCTGCCCTGTTGGTCCTTCCCCTGATTTTTACCCATAAATACTTAACCCTACTGTCACCATCATTAAGCCCTAGACAACTGAAACACTCCCTAACAGTGGCTACCCCACTGCCTCTCCTTTCTTGCCTGTCTCTTCTGAAGAGTTTATAGCCATCCATTGCAGCCTGGTTGCGTGACTTGTCCCACTATGTCTCCATGATGGCAACTATGGCAGTTTCCTGCTGCACCATGTCTTTTCAGTTCCTCCTGTTGGCTGCCCATGCTGCATGCACTAGTGGAGATGCACTTCAGTTGGGCTACTGATTCCACCACCTTTTCTACCACCCTAATTCCTATGCCCTAATTCTCAGGTGCCTCTGTGATTTCTCACCCACCAACAGCCTTTGCATCTTTGCTGCCACATGGATCTCCCTCCTCTACTTCCACTGAGATGGCAGACCAAAGGACCTTGCTAACGCATCATCAGACACAGTCAACACTCCCAGGGAAGGGTGATACTCACAGTCCAGGAAGCACCACTTGGGTGAAAGCTTCTGGAATGACAGTGTCTTTGGCTTGGCTCCATCTCCCTCCTGCATAAAAAAAGAGAGGACAAAGTTGTATCTTTTGGCCTCCCCATTTCTCTTCACAGCATCCCTCCTGCTTTGGAAGGTTCCTGGAGACACAGAGGACCACAGGTGCTTGGATGTAAAGGAGACCTTGAACACGGGCACAGCACAGAGTGACGAAGAGCAGAAAAGGACAGACTGGAGCCAATGCACACCAGCCCACTGTGGAGAGGTGTCACAAGATGAGCCCATGAGACTGGCACAGTGGACATAACAGATGGGCCCAGTGGACAGAGTGAGGCCGTACACACCTGAAAGAGCAGGCACTCTAAAGCAGAGGGCTGTGGAGGGAAATCCTGCAGAAAGGCAAGGTGTGCTGTTACAGTCTGTGTCTGGCTGGCCCCCTAGCCCCTCTCTCATCCCATTGGAATTGCTTAATGTGCTGACATATCTGGCTTGACCAAGGTCCCTGGTCCCTGCCTGGCTTTAAGGTCAGAGCACAGTGGATGTCCAAGGAGAGAGAAGAGGTAAACCGTGAGGTGACCAAGGAACACCACCCTCAGTGCACAGTTTTAGAGATGCAGGAGGTAGCAGAGGCATCAGTCTACCATGTTGACACTATAGGAAAGTGTTACCCTCTGAGTCCAGGAGCCATGTGCCCGCCTGTGTGTCCTTGCCAGTGCCTGTGCACAAGGTGAGCAGGGGACAGACATGCGGAGCAGGAAGAAAAAGAGGCAGACGACAGCGTGCCAGGCACACTGTTGCCCAGGCAAGCAGCTCCACAACTCAGCCCTGCAGGACACTACGCACACGCTGGATAGGATTCCCTCAGGCACAAGACTCAGCTAACTGGGGACTGAGCAATGTCCCTTCAGTCTTCTGGGTGAGAATCAGATTGAGCAGTGCAGCATCAGGAGCCACACTATGGACTCAGAAGGCATTGCTCACCAGGAGTAAGAGTTACACAGTCTGTGTACAGGTCACAGACATGTGCTAGTACATTGGCAAGAGCACAAAAGTTAGTACTTGCAAATTAAGAGTCGGCACCTGAGAGGGCAGAGCTGTGCCAGGAAGCACAGAACCTGCAGAGGATTGAAGGGTGATAGACCCCCACAGGATGGGTGTCTATTTCCACTACTCCATACATTTTCTGTGTCACTGACACTCTGGGCTTGGAGAACACAGTCAGAAGAGCAACGTTGAGAAAGAAGCTGCCAAACAGCAGGGAGCTACAAGCCATCCAGCTTGGGATCCTGCCTCCACCACATGGTGAAGGCAAACCACGACCTGAAGCAAGAGTGTGGGTGTGTGGGTGCACGAAAGTCAAGAAAGTTTAAAAATCCTTTCCCTGAACTCCTCCATTCTTGGCATCCAGCCACAACCACTTCACACACAGAGACTCACCTCCTGCAGCTTCTCGATTTGGGTCCGGCACAACTCCAGGTCACTGTCTCCTGGAACCACGATGATCCCCAGTGGCACAGCTGCATGACAGGGCACAGACACAACTCAGGGAGCAGCCCGTGCCCCATCCCCAACACCTCGTGCAATTTAACTACAAGCTTTGCCAGACTCAGGTACTGAAGCTCCCGCCCCTTGGTCACTCAGTTGGTCACTCACAGGCTTCCTTGAGCTTTTCCTTGTCATAGTTCAGCGCCTCATAGTCACGCATGCTGATTCGGCTCACCCGGATCCGCAGCCGCTCGGGCACTGGCTGCTGGCTGTGTGCAAGGGGGAAGGAGACGGAAGAGATCACAAGGTGACAGACCACTCTCTCCTTATCTCCCTCATCCCTCCAAAACAAGCAAGAGCACAGTGTTCTACAGACTGGGTGGGGAGCTTGGCATCAGCAGCTTCTCCACCACCACGGTCTGGCCATATTTCTGTGACTTGATCCCTTCCCAGACCCTCTACAAAAAAGAGGATTGAAATGCCTCCATGAGTCATGGATCAGTCCATTCCTTCCCCCTCCAACCCTTCTTCCCTGGAGAGAAGGTGGCAGATCGATCTGAGGAACCTACTCATTGAGCAGAGGCATGGAGTTGCGGCGCTTGGTCTTCTGCACCATGTTTGCTTGGTTGCGCAGGGAGATGTGGATGCAGGAAGCTGCCAGCTTGCAGGGTTCTCCATCCACCTGCATAGGGATGGCCTTGGATGTGGTGAGAACCACCTGCCGGCACTGACAGAGCCGTTCCCCATGGCCACCGACCTGCAAGGCAGCCTGTGAAAGGGTCCATTGTGAGAGTAGAGCATGGACTCAGGGGTGGATGAGAGGAGCACCCACTGGCAGTTAGATGTTTTAAGTGAACCAAGTTCTGAGGGTCTCAGTCCTGATTTCAGAGAGAAGGGACCCACAGAGGCCAGGGCATGACAGCACCTCACCTAAATGTCAAGAGAGCAGACGCTGTCACACAGGCCAACAGCACAGCTTCTCCAGAGAGGATCTGTGGAGTTGGCTGACACCTGGTCAATGGGACCAGTCACTTCCTTAGTTGTTAGCTACAACTGGCAAAAGCACTGACTTACCAGAGATGTCATGGTGAAGCCAATAACTTCAATGCAACCATCGTCATGGCGCTGAGGCTCGAAGTCATGGTGCTCTCCAGGGTTGCCCCAGGGCATGGTGCCTGCACAGTACCTGTGAAAAGATGGTAAGAGATGCATGGACAGGCACCCCAAACCCAGGCAGGGATCTGCGGCACATGGGCGAGAAGGCCAGCATATGAAGACAGGTCCTGGGACTGCTCACCTTGGGATATTCAGGAAGACCAGGCACTGGGGCTTCAGGTCCTGAATCTTGGAGGTCAGGTCTGTCCCATCACACTGGAGACAATACAGAGGTGTTCAGGCTGCTTTAAGAGGGAGCCTGGTCCATCCTACCCACTTTGGAAGAAATGGCCTCCCTCCTCTGCTCCCTACAGTGACTGTCCTCCAAGTCAGAGGAAGCTGATGTCCCAGAAACATATCCACTCCCCAACACTGAGATACTCAGTGTGCCAAGGGACCACTCCTCACATCTCCACAGCTCACCCCTTCACTGCACCAGAGCACCCCAGCATACTCACAACCAGCCTGACATGCTTTGCCAAGTCCTTGGAGCTCCCAGTGAGGAAGTCAGAGAAGGCCGTCTGCCAAGGTAAGAGCCAGTGTTAGTGTCCAGATGTTCACCGAAACGGGCAGCCAGGAAGCCTGCCACTGACCTGCAGATCTCAGCTGCTGAAAACCACAAATCCCCTTTTCATGCACTGGCAGAAGCCCTCTCCTCCTCCTGTCCCAAAATGACCCGATACATTCCATTTGCTATATTGCCTACCAGAAACCCTGGGGCACCTTCAGTAACATGCCTCAGTATTCCCTTGCCAGTCCAGTTCTGACTTCAGGGAAGAGCTGGCAAGATGGGTCTCTGCTAGCAAAAGGCTCAAGTCACAAGAGACAAATTCAGTCTCAAGTTGTAAGGAAGCATCACAAACCAGAGCTGATGTGACACCATCTAGAGATACCAGGAGGGACAGTATGGGTCCCCTTTGGGGTTAACTGTACAGACAGGAAGAGAGACACAAGCAGGTCAGATGTGAGATGGCACAGAGCAGCATTTGGCCTTTAGTATGCTCAAGTACCAGCCACCCAGACACCTAGGTAGAAGGTATATTGAGGATGGGGAGACAGAGGAATAAAGGCAATGCTGAGATGCAATCTAGAGGTGAGATACAGGAAGGTGGTATAATTAGCCAGGGAGCTGCAACTGGCCCAAGATATAAAATAAAAGAACAAAGTAGTGTGGGGACTCTATGGAAAGGCTTCCTTCCTCTGCAGGGGTGACAGCCTGCCTCCCCACAGCTCTGGGGAGGTCCTGCCTGGGTGACCAACCGTGAGCCAGAGAACAAGAACAATAGTGGCAGGAGATCAAGACAGCAACTGTACTGCAGGCCATGGAGCAAGCTGTACTGCCAGCAGCACTCGCAGCCAAAGAGGAGCTGTGACTCCCAGCGCTGCAGCCTTTCTCCAGCAATCCTCCAGCTTCAGGGCGGGTAAAGGTCCATGTAACTTGGATGAGTGAGTTTAGGGGGTAGACAGGAGGCAGGTCCATGCCTGTGCTCCAGATGTTAAGGTTGCTATGAAGGCATGCTCAGATATCCTCCACACACTCACCCCAGCATAGAACATTTTATTCCGAAACCGGCTGTTGAACTTCTCCGGGTTGGCCTCTAGGGAAAGGATAAAAAAGTTCAGGTCATTGGCCTGCACATGGAAATATTTCACTTGCCAGCTCTCCCCAGACATAGTTCTCCAGCCAGCCTCATCCAGGAGTCAGACCCCAGTTCTCTTCCTGTGCAGGCAATCCCTCTTGCCACTCTGCAGCCTCAAACTGCTCCTCATGTTTAACGTTCAGGTCTGTCTCTGGGGAAATCCTCTTGTTCACTTTCCTGAGGAACCCAAAAACGCGAACGGGTCCATCCCACAGACCCTGCCCAAGCCCTGCCACTGCCCTGTACCTCGGGATTCATGAAACTCCAGCGTCACTCGTGCATCAAAGCCAAGGCTGAAGTAGTTATTAAAGACATCCAAAGGCAGCTGAAATGGAAAGGAGGAATAAGGATGAGACTGCCGGTGTGTGGCTGTGGCAAAGATGAGGTCAGGTTACAGCAGAGCCACGTACAGTGCTCATGAGGCTGAGGGAGCCTGCTTGCCTTCTCCCCAAGAAAATACAGAGGTTACCAGCATGAGATGATGGATTGGTCCCTGGCTCCTAGGCCCAAGGGAACACACTCTGCTGTCTGAGATATCTGCAAATACCCATGTATCTGCTAAAGAAACAGTCTCAGAGGGTACTGGGTTTATACCTGTTGCAAGCTATGGTTAAAAACCATAGACATTTAGTTCTGAACTCTACATGCCTTGCCATGAGCACTGTGACTCAGAGCCATGATGAGAGCAGTGAAATTGCAGAAGGGAGAGAGAAACACCAACCCAACACTCTAGCCCCAGGTGCTAGGGCTGCCTGAGCCAGTGGGAGAAAGGAGAATGGAGCACCCCAGCGCAGGAAACAAATACGGAGAGGAGTGTCCCACCTTGTCAGTGGCTGCCTCATCCTTTTCCTCAGGGTTTGTGTCAGGGTTTGGCTCCACATGGAGGTTCCAGCGATCGAGCTGCACTATGTTCCCATCTTCTACATGAGACAGGATCTTGGACAGAGGCTCATCCGTGTAACCCTGGTGAAGAGAAGGACTTGGTGAGTCTCATGCCTGCCTCCCACAGAGATGCCCCAGAGACAGCAGGTTTTGGTAAGACATCCCAGAGCATAAGATGTAGAAGAGATCAACTCTACTTGAATGCACAACAAAGTGGGACTTTAAATTTAAAACAATATATCTTCCTTCTAAAAATCTCCTGAAGTTTGAAATAGTGATTGCTTTTGTTAACATCCTACTAGACTATTATCTAATGCAGAACAATTCAAATGTTAGAAGAATGGTAACATCCAAATGGCACTTATTTGTTGATCTGTTTTTATGGGAAGTCAAAACAGTAGCCCATGCAAAATCCCACCCATGTGTCTGGAAGAGGAGTTGAAGTGCTCAGCCCTTCTCTGTCAGCAGTGGGCTCTCGTGCCCATCACTTACCCCACCCCAGTTCAGTGTTCTGGCCAAGTCATTCCCTGTTCCCAAAGGTAGGATGGCCACAGGAGGAGGTGGGTTGATCCGTAACTGGTCCAGAATGGAGAGTATCCAGCCCACCTGCTCAAGCAAGAGAGTGCAGAGGAGCGGTTATTTCAGGGACCAGCAAGCAGGCAGAGGTGGCTCAGAGCACTTGCGATGGCAGAGATGGGGTCCCCTTAGCCACCACCAAGGCTATTCACAGTCTTTAATGCTCCAAACAGGTGATGCAGGAGATACTAGTAACCCCAGTGAAGATACTGGCCTCCTAAAGAGCTACAAATCCAGACATGTTACAGACTATCACTCCCTGAAGCAGGGCATAAGGGCACCCACAGTATCCAGTGCCACAGTGCACAGTTTGCCTCATTCTGGATTACAATAAGGAAGGGCTGCTTCCTGCACTGGAAGGGCATGGGGCAAAGGGCATCACAGGCACCAAGGGCCTGGGGGACTCACCGTGCCGTCTCCCCCACATGCCAGGATCCGGAGGTTGTGGACTTTGCGGTACAGCTCCAGCCTGCAGGGAACAGGGAGGTTAAGGAGGGAGGGAAGAAGTACTGAAGGTGTTACACAGCAGCTGCCTCACAGAGCCCTTGGTATTCACAAAGGGCTACTCTCCCATTGCCACAGGTGTTCTCAACAGTGGGTAAAGCCACAGCAACTTTGGCTTCACCAGCGCTTGCATAGGAAGAGCGGAGTGTCCACAGGCTGTGCACACACAGATAACCCAAGTAAGGAGACAAGACTCACACAATGTTAATTAAATATAAGGAACTAAGTCTGGGAACCTCACCCCATAGATAGTCTCTTTGCCACTAGCCTTAAGACTAGACCAGCCCTCCAGCAGGAATCACCAACTGACCACAAGCTATCCTAGAGAGGCCTCTCAAAATGTTGGAGGTCTCTTTGCAGGTGGGAGCTATGGAGCATCAAGCAATTTCTGGGGCACGGATGGAGGAGAGAAAGATGCTGCCTCCATCAGTACTCACGCCTCCTTGGGTCCACCTTGGCTGAGGTCAAAAACTTGCCGTGGATTGAGATACCACATGAAGGACTGGATGATCTTGGCTCCCTATGGGGAGAAGAAAGACATCAGGTAACAGGGAGTTCCCAGTGGACAGTGGAAGAAGGCATCTGGTCCTGGGGACAGCCCAAGACAACATCATTCTGAGAGGCACAGAGGCAAAGCCTGGCCTAGGTAGGAGTTGTTGGGCAGAAAACTGGCACTGTGGTGATTGCCATGCCTCTTCTGCAGCTGAGACATCACCAAAACCATGATGAGACCTTGGCAGTCAAACGGCAGTGCCCTCATGGAGATGTCTTCTCAGGGAGACACTGGGTAAGGCCATACCTGATTCCCACCGCTCTTGGGGTTCACAAACACCAGTAAGGGCTTCATAAGAGGAGCTGGCATGGGCTTGATGACAAAGGGTTTCCACCTCCCTTCCTGCAAGAGACACCACAGGTCCTTCAACAAACCTGGGAAAACGCAAACTCCCACCTCCAGCTGAGCCCTAACATCATGCAGGTCAGAAGGGTGAGGAAGAGAACATCCCAGTCACCCCATAAGCCTCATAGCTGGAATATACTCTACCAGGAGATATCTGCCCTCCAGCTCAACTTCCTTAACCTCAGCACAGACCCAGCAAAGCCCCCTTTGTTTCCCAGCCCTGCTCCTCACTGTTCAGTCCCTCTGCCCTTCCAAGACAAGGTTATTCCTTGTCCCCTGATCTCTTACCTCGGCCCCCTTTTTGCTGGATTTCCGCTTGAATGATGTCCTCTTCTTCTTCTTACTAGATTTTAGTGGATTCTAGAGACAAAAGAAATAAACATAGCAACTCCGTAAGGAGCCACTGGGCAAGTGGGAGTTGAGAAAGAGTCACAAGAACCAAGATGACTTACCTGGGGCCGTCGGACCCGCAGAATCCAGGTGGGAGGAACGACGACAGCAGCATGAGCCCCCAGCGAGCAGGGCTCTTCAATGTGTTGCAGCATGAAACATGACACTTTGCTGTGATACTGGGGAATGAGAAGACAGAGAGAAAACTCAGCTGCTCAGTTTTCTAGGGACAGCCACCATCTTCTCCCAGCTCCCACATGCCAATACAAGGAGTGCTGAAGGAAACCATACAGAAATTTTGTAATGGGAAGGCAATGAAGGGAAAGTTTCTAGAAGGAGTTCACAAATATCATGTTACAGCCTCAGTCAGTAGGAGGAGCTGTTAAGGGTAGGCTGCAGAGAAGCAGCCTGGGGAGTCTCAGCAGAAAGTAGAGGTCATTAGGTGCAGAACAGGCTGGTCAGGCATTCTATGGGGGCTTTGCTCACCGCTTGCTTGCACCAGGAACAGCTGATGGCTACAATCTCTTTACTGTGGAAGGCAAACTTCTGCTGAAAACCCTGTGGAAGAAAGGATAAGAGGCTTAGGGAATTCCCTCAGGGTTTTCTACCTTCCAACAGGACTTTCCCACCACTAAGAGAGACATTAACAAAGAGAGCATGTCAGCAGCTGGAGCCCTCTAGATCCCTGTCAGATAGCCCCAACCACCACTATGGCACCAGGGAGGTCACTGTGCTCCACAGGGGTGTCCTTAATGCTCAAAGAAAGCATGACAGGAAGACAGTCTCCTTCAGGATTGATTGGGCCCAGGGGGAAAACTACTCTATGTGGGAAGCATTTACATAGTGCTTCACTGAGCAAAACAGAGTACGTGTCCTGCTTTTACTGCCAAACAAGAACGGTGGGATGTCCCTGGTTCCCAGCCCTGTTCTTGTCTCTCATTTGACCTTAGATTTCCTGAGGCTGAGAAAAACACCCCAAGATACCTTCTCACCTTGCCACACTGCCGGCATTTCCCTTCCTGCCGCCTTCGGTGCACCCAGTGATGCCGGACAACGATGGGCTAAAGGGAAAACAAAAAAAGAAAAGAAAAAAAAGGGGAATGAAAGGCCCAGCATGTGAAGGAATGCAGGAACAGGCAGAAATAATGGACCCAAGCCACCCAGGACCACTGCTCTTGCAGCAAACCCACTGCTCACAGGCACCAGCTCCAACCCTCTGAGAGAAGGCAAAGCCAAAGAATTGGGGGCATGAGGCCAAATTAAGATGCTCAGAGAAAAGGGAATCAAAACCAGAAGAAATAGGAAGGAGGAGAGGGAAAGTGAAGACTGAAAATCACAGAAAGCAGATCCAAGAGACAGGGGACAAGCAGTAGCACATCTCAGTCCCTTAACATCTCTGTCCAGATGCCCCTAGTGCCAGGTGAAAAACTTGCTGGTGGAAGGTGTGAAAATCCCCAGAGAGACACAGTTTGTGCCCATAGAGAGACAGAAGTGCTTGCAGCTAAGCAGAGAACCTATCTTTCCCATTCCTCTAGGACAGCAGCGGACCCAAAGCCCCCCCCCCCCCCCCAATTCTCCCTGCTCTTTGCCCCAGGGCAATCCTGCAGCCTGCCTCAGCCCCAGGGTGGGCAGCAAGCAAGCACCTCTACCCTGCCTGCAGGCTCATGGTGGGAGAGGGCTGGGGCTTGCAGGAGTCACTTGCAGTGAGGGACTCAGAAGTTTTGTAAGGAAGCACCACATATCCTAAATCCCACCCTACTCTTCCAGCCCTGGATTAGGAATGGCACTGCAGAGAGAATAGCAAAAACAGAAGAGGGAGTGAGAATTCACAGGCTGTGGCAGGGCCCAACATCCTGCTCCTGACAGCTTTTGGGATCATGATGACAGAGGCACAAACTGGCAGGAGGTTTGGGTCAGCTCCAGTGTTGCCTGCTCTGAGTGCAGCACACTGGAGAGGACAAAGAGACCTGTTGGCTTTAGCAGACATGAATCTAGTAGGAGCAGAAGGGGGGCTATGCCTTGAGCTGAACTCTAAGTCCCAGCAGGCACATCTAGGGAGAGGGCTGACCCTGACTGAGATCCCTGGCACCACAAAGGCCAGAAGAGCACATTTCTAGGGAAATGGGAAGGAAGAGGCCTTGAAGGAACTGAGAAGCATTAGAAAGACAGGATGGAGAAGCAGAGTTTGAGAGAAAAAAAGAAAAACCAAGAAAGGGGAGGGAAAATTTGTAGAGTTTGGACAGAAGAAAAATAGAGACAGAAGATCAAGCAGAGGCAGACAGCTGTCAGCAGAGCCCTAAAAATAAGTGAAGCACAAATAGGTGAGCTAGGCTAAGAGTGATATGGGAAGGAGATATGGCAGGAAGAGCAAAGCAAGAAAGGAAGGTTTAAAGTGATGCTGAAAGCTTTGCTTTCTGATGTCACATTGGCATTTGAAAGCAGGCAGCCCTGTGTTTGAATACCTTTCCCCTACTGCATCTGCTGTGCCAGCACAAACACAGTGTGAGGGCAGCTGTGTTACCATTATGGCCCATGACTGAGCCATCCACACCCACTCTAGAGCACTGCATGGGCTACACTGACTCCATAGGCTGGAGGGTGAAACATGAAGGCTGACAGTTGCTTCCATCAGTGCAGCTCAGCAGACAGGTCCCAGGCCACCTCTTACACCCAGTATCTTAAAACATGGGCTAAAGTGGTCTGATAGCACCGCTGCAGGCATCTTCCACTGCTACCTGCAGTACCTGTGACACCCCAGTCAGGGCTGAGTGATAAAGCAAGAAATGAGCCCATACTGCTTCCTTCCAAATTGCAGACTTGGGAACCTGCTTTTTGCAATAGCCCTGTCTATTGTGCCTGGGGACCAACACGAGGGGGAAAGTTTATTCCAGAAAACAGTCTGCAGATTCTCTGCAGATTCAGGAACTTCAGAACATGCTTTACATTCCTTGTCTGCAAGCTCCCCACTCCTCACACTCAGTCTGCACTACTGCCTGGCAAAGAAACATTCCTTTTACTGCACCGCCCCCTTGGAGCAGGAGGCAGCATGATGCCTGAACTCTGATGGGCAAGATGCTGGCAGCATCTGGTGTCTTTGTCACCACACTGGAAAGAGCAAAGGTAGATGTGGGCAGTGTCCGAGGCACATCTCTCACCTCCCGTATGTTCCGGGATCCTGACTCCCTGAAGGAAGGCTTGCAGCGGAAATTTATCTGTAGATTGAACACACATGAGAGGAATTAGTAAAACCATCATACCTCAAGGCAACCTACTGGAGTTTACTGTACTACAGCAAGGCCCAGAACTTCTAGAGCTGTTTGGTACTTGCTGCAAAACCCTCACATATCTCTGTTACTGAACAAAATGGGGCCAAGGGTCCCAATCATGTCACTCCTTTTGATACTGTCTCCTCAGAAGACCCCTCTTTGCAATTACACACTGCAGTTCCCCAATCTTCTCGTCTTTTATTGCCAAAAAGGAAGGGTTGTTACAGTTTTGTGAGCTGCAGAGAGGGCTCAACAGGCTCTACTCACTTTCTCCAGCTGTTCGATGCAGGGTGTATGCACTACAATCTTGCAGGCTGCACACTTACGCCTGGAGAGCGGTTTTTGCTGCAGGATAAGAAAAGGGGAAGAAAAACATGCATGTGAGTGAAAACACGCAGTGTTCTGAGGCCGGCAAACTCAGCCTCCCATCATACCTCCTTCATATATATTGGGATACAGAACACGCCCCATAGTAAAGTTAGACACAGCCTAGACTCCTTGCAAGTGAAGGGATCTAAGCATGTGCCTACAGCAGATGCTCTCAAGCCTGGCACAGAACAGAGAGGTATTTTCCCCACTGTCCTGTCCTGCAGTTCTTGGCCTCTTCTGACACTGCCTGAGAGCACCGTGGCAGCTGGTCTGGGAGGCGCCTGCAGGGCTCCCCCAGTAAGCCCCATGAGCAGGCACTGTCACATCACTGCTCCATCCTACATCATAAGTAGGACTGAACCTGCAAGCTGGGAGGGAGGACTGCAGCAACCCTGTAAGAACAGTGCTGCCTGCAGGGGCTTGGGTCTCCAGCACACATTTTTCTCCTCCATTGAAAGGTCTTGGATTCAGATTATCCTTATAAGGGTGTGGGATCCTAACACCTTCTCCCTGGAATACTCTGGGCAAGTGGCAGCCCTGCGTCCGGTTCCTATTGCAAACTGAGCACCACCACGGGCAGAAACTACAGACTCAGCCCTCCAGTGTGCAGAAGCAGGAGGGACAGACTCCCTGTCTTGGCAGCTCCCCAGACCTCTGCATGTCCCCCAGCAGCAGCAGTACAGACTCCATTGTCACTCATCACATGACAGCCCAGCCTGCATCTTCAGCCTTTACCAGGGAGGTGGGTGATCCCAGGTGACTCACCAACAGCTTTGCCATGCAGTTCTGCTCCCCAACATAGCAGAAGTCCCCAGAGACGTTGGTCTCAAACCAGATGTGCTCCCCATATATCGCAGTCTCCTGAAAGGCACAAGACAACACATTTCTCTGAGAGTACCCCCAGACAGGCAACCGAGCCCCTAAAATGCTTTAAGCAAGGGACAAGATACTAGACAACACTAGGGGGTAGGAGGTTGGAGCTAAAGGTAGGCCAGGAGACAAGATGCACGCAACAGAGAGGGACAACATCTGGACAGAGGAAACCTCACAAAGCTGCTGCCATGGCCAATCTGTTGGAAATGAAAGGGCCCCAGGAAACTAACTCCTACATCCCAGTTGCAGTGTCCTGCACAGGGGAGCTGATTCATCACCCCCTGAGAGGAGGCATCGGGACAAATTCAGTGCAGGGGACTCTCCTGAACCGGCTTCTGCTCTACAACCTCAGGATGCAGTTTAAAGCCTGCCAGGCTTTGCCTGCAAAGGAGCAGGGACTTGCTCCTTGTTGCTTGGCCCCAGCCACCAGATCTCAGCTGTCAGAAGCAGAAGAACTGGCAGTGGAGTAATTATGTCATACTCCCAGGAACCACTTGTGTCTGCACAGCTTCTCCTTGCAGCATCAAGCAGTGTTGCCAGCAGCACAGACATTGGCACCAGCTGGTGGCAATGGTAGAGGCCATAAATGTGTCGAAGTCAGTCACCTGGGAAGCCTCAACCTGGGAAGAGCCTTCTGCTTCCTGGCTGGGAGCCTATTCCATGCAATGCCCAGCAAAACGAGTTACAACTTACGCTCCAGTCCACAGTGCTGCGTATCTGCCTCTCCGAGTCGCTTCTCAGGGCTAGTGCAGGGTTTGGCTGGGCTATCATGTGCTGGAGGCTGGATTTGGCAATAGCTTTCCTGGAAGACACAGAGAGGCTGGCTATTAAATCAAGGTAGGAGGAATAACAACCTGCTTCTAAGATGCAATGTCAGGCTGGAGCAGACAAGCTTCCTCAAGACCAAGTGGCTGGAAATGAGGCGCATCTCGAGCACAGCTGGCTGAGGAGTGCCTGTTCCTATGAGACAGCTGCCCACATTGCTGACAGCTCAGCTAAAGACACCTTGTACCCAGCAAAAGGCACAGCCTGGGCCTGCTGGGTCAATGCCCTTGGGGATGACAGTTCCATTGCAAAACACCCTGGAAGTCTCCAACAAGCTGTGGTGGTAAGGCTGCCTTTGCAGGGACAATCCAGAGCCCCTGGCCCACAGAGGCTCCCTGCAGCTCTCCCATACTAAGGCACATCAGAGCTTGGAGTTCTTGCAGGGACCAGCACAACTAGCCAGAATAAAAGCTGTTGTTTGTTTGGGGCTAGCGAGCTTCTCCCCAGATGCGCTAGGGTAGAGGAAAGGAGCAGGTGATCCAGCCAGCAGAAGAAAGTGTGCACCTCCAGCCCACAACCAGGCCTGCCATCTCCCTCTGGCCCCAGTCTGGCAGGAGAGGACAACCGCAAACTCCAGGGGCTGCACTGAAAGCATCAGCAGCAGCACTGGCCCGAGTGGAAGATGCTCAAGGTATGCCAGCAGCACTGCAAAACACCAATAGTAACCAGGGCCAAAGGCACCGAGTCCCTTCCCTCCTTCCCCACCAAGCCTGAGTCTGCATCCAATTTCTCCCCTCCCCAAGGCACCGATTGCCCACTTGCATGCTGTCGCCATACATACAGCAACCGGGGGCTCCAGCCATCCGGGGCAGCGTGGCAGGTGGACTCCGGTCCCAAGCCCTCGGGGGAGGTGGCAGAGGGGCACCCGGCTCTGGCCACCCCTGCACAGTGTTGGGCCAGCAGCCGTGGGTGGCTGGAGGGGAGCAGCCCAGGTCGGAGGGGATCGCTGGAGCGCCGGCGCTGGCTGAGGCGGCCGGCTAAGCTGGCCTGGCAGCCGTAGGCAGCCCGGTTGTTTACACAACTTCGGTGGCAGGTGGTGGGAGGAGGAGCGCCGCAGGCAGCGGGGGCCCCATGACAGCAGCCCCCCCTGGAGTGGCCGCAGCTGGGGCAGCATGGCCAGCCATGTCTCCTCAGCCCAACGCTCATGCTGGCCCTGCTCAGTTTCTGCTGCTGTGCCACCATCCTCCAGAGACTCGGATTTGGAGCTGTCAGCATGGGGAGCCCTGTTCCCCTCCTCTCCCATGGGAATGAGGCTGGCCAGGAGGACAGAGGGACCCAGCAGTTGGGCATCACTGGCTTGTGCCTGGCCCCCGCGCTTCGCCTGCACAGCAAACCTGGGGCTGAGGCAGGGTGGCGTGGTGCTGGAGCGTCGGCGGGTGCCAGGACGCCGGACCAGGCCCAGGCAGGAGAGGGATGCCTCTGGAGTGCCTGAGCCGCGGCGGCGCTGGACCAGCACGCTGGAAGGCAGCCCCACCTGGGAGCGACGCCTGGCCTTGCCTGTGGGCACGGCCACCACGCTGGTGTGCCGCAGCCTCTTCCGTCCAAAGTGCCGCCTAAAAAAGGTTTCCATTGCAACTGGATGGTGGCTGTTCAAAGAGACCAGGAATTAAGTAGGCTCCCCCACGGGTCCCCAGGCCAGGCTGTGGGGGTCAGGGCAAGGAGTCAGGAGAAAGTAGGGAACAGAGGGCTGAAGCAGGGAGTGGGGGACATGGCAATGCCTCCTGGGGCACGTGGCAGGGTCCTGCTCCCCACAGCTCTACTGCTCCCTGAGTTTCACTGCTCAGCCCAGGGGGCTGCGATGGCAGGGCAAGTGTTCCCACCTAACTGGAAACCTGCTCTCTACTGTGGGATCAGCAGAGACCCTGCACCCCAAGGTGCCAATGAGCCCTGGTACCTCAACTACCCTCACTGCTTTCCTGATGCTGGTCCATCTGGTTTCCCCACAGGAACCACTCTGGCTAAGCACTAGTCCCACCAAATTTGCAGCAAATTGAAATTAAGCCCTTGTGAATCCTACAGAAGAAAATGAACCAGGCCAGTAAAAGCAGTGCAGGCAGATTTGGTAGATCTGGCTAGCTCCAGTGCTCCCCTCTTCCAGAGCTAGTGCTTTGCTTCCCACCTTCTGGCTGCCACCTCTCTTCAACTGGTAGAGAGGATTTATTCAAGGTCAATTCAAAAAACCTCCACAGTTTGGTATAAGCAAACTTCTGGCTCTTCAGCTGCTCCCAAGGCAGGGGACTCTGGATCATGGCAGCCTGCAAGCACACATAAGCCACCACCACCACTCTCAAGGATTTCAGTTCTGTACAAGGCATCTCCTGTACCCACCACAGGGTATGGGCATGCTGCTCACCACTATGCTAAGACTGACATCTGCTCCACTTGCTTCTATCTTCCTTCTTTCTTATGCTCTTTTACACACTCACTTGTAGGTCAGCAATACCAGAGAATCTTCAGGAGAACACCCTGGCCCAAACTTTTAAAGTCCCAAGGCCCACACAAACAGGTAACCTTGTCAGAAGCTTCTTCCCTTTTTATTTGGGAAATGCTGTAAGATGGGACATATTTTATTTTCTGGACAAACTAGAGTTTTTGATAGTGCTTGTAGCACTAGGGGCTGTACATTTTTTTTTTTTAAATGAGTACAAAGCTGACTTTATATTTTTGGAAAAGACCAGGCTTGGTTTGGATTCCTCCAGCCTGGTGGGCAAGGAGATCAGCTCTTTAGTTTGTACAGTCTCATCACCATGCCTGTACTCAGTAATGTAGTACAAAGAGAGAAGGAAAGAAGGACAGCGACGGCCTCCAGAGAGCAGCATCAGGGCAGCTAAAGCCTGGCTGAACTGAAAGCAAAACTAAAGCGTCACCTCTTCAGAAGTATTTCTCAAGTCCCACCACTGCAAGCAATGCAGGCAGGCACTTGGTCACCAGAAGGTTCAATCCACTGAGGCCCATGCAGCTTTGCAGAGGGCAAAAGCACATTTTGCTGATGACCCTGATTCCAGCCTGTCCCCAACACTGTAGTGCTTCATTCCTGTCTGCTGCCCCCATTGTCTGCAGGACGATGCACAGTAAATTGCATAGAATCTAAGAATCCAGACTTCCCCCGTACAACTTGAGGCCATTTCCTCTTGTTCTATCACTTGTTACTTGGGAGAAGAGACAGACCCCACACGTTGCTAAAACCTCCTTTCAGGTAGCTGTAGAGAGCAATAAGGTCTCCCCTGAGCCTCCTTTTCCCCACGCTAAACAACCCCAGCTCCTTCAGCCGCTCTTCCTACGATTTGTCCTCTAGACCCTTTGTCAGCTTCATTACCTTTCTCTGGACATGCTCCAGCACCCCAATGTCCTTGCAGTGAGGAGCCAAAAACTGGACACAGGATTTGAGGCGCTGCCTCACCAGTGTTGCAGCATACAGGGAGACAATCACTTCCTTAGTCCTGCTGGCCACACTATTTCTGATACAGGTTAGGAGGCAGTTGGCCCTCTTGGCCACCTGGGCACATTGCTGGCTCATGTTCAGCCGGCTTTTGACCAGCATCATTACCAACAGGTGTTAAAAATTGTCTGAACAAATAAAACATTAAAAAATGCAAGTGAGAATGCTGCTTGGATGTGGCACACTGCAACAGATCCTTTTTGGCTAGCTTTAGCTGCTGGGGGAGACAGAGTGACCAATTGCACCCCAAATAAGCTGAACGGCTGCTCCCTCATGTCCCAGATACTCCACCAGCATCAAGCTGCTGTGGGCAGGAAGATCTCTCAACACAGCTTCCTTCCTTTTTGCACCACAGTCTCGTGAGGAAATCTGCTAGAACAACCTTGGCTTGACATTTATGTTTGAGTACTAGCTGATTACCAGCCTTTTTATCTTCAGGGCTGTCTGTAAGTGGCATACAGCCTCAAGCTCCAACCACCAATGGTGAAGGTTATTACAAGACAACCTTCTGACAGCCCATGACAGCAGGACACGGCAGCTCAGATATGTTGGGTGAACATATCCCCACCTCTTGCATCTTACTTCCAACCTGAGCTCCAAATGGTGTACTGCAGGTGTTGAGAGCTGCTGCTGGCAGAGCAGATGGACAGACTGCCAGGGGTGCTCAGGGTTGATATGCATCAGCAGAGCTGCATGCAGAGCAGCCAGGGAACCACACACCGGGCAGAGAGGAGCCTGAGAGGAGCTAAGCCCTGGAAGCCTCTGGCCTAACAGCAGCATACTTCTGGGATCTGCCCTTTTTGCCACTGAGAAAAAGATGGAGAAGAGCCAGCACCTGTGGCTGCTCTGCAGACTGCATTGCTCAGCTCAGTTAGGAGGCTGGATGAAGCCAGTCTGGCATTTGCAGTGTACAAAGGAAAGGAAGTACTGCTATGTACACTAGGATATCAAATCTACTTATCAGCAGATACACACTACCATTTCAATCTCCTCCTGTGAATAAGGAAAGAGACAGCAGATCTGGTCTGCTCATGATTTTCAGTCAGAGCTCTTGGGAGGTGTTTTTTTTTTTTTGATAACCAGAGCCCTCAAAGTCTCCTACACTCCCAGCCTGGTCTCAGTGGGCAGACACACTGCTGAAGCAGGAACATGTCCTCGCAGGATCCAAATGCCCTTGGAAAGTACAGCAGGGATTGAAGAGGAAAAACTTGCATCTTGTAACTTCAGTGGACACGGAGCTCATGGATCAGCTGACTCAGAGACATCTCTCCAGACATCCAACAGCCATCCCTCATGTGGTGGTGGTAGTCCTAAAATCAGACAGGCTGACTCCCAGGGCTAAACATGCAGTGTCCATCATGGTATAACCTCTTGCCCCCATCAGGAGGAGCACCTGGATATTCAGCTCCATTATTCTGCTTTGCTTCACTAGCCTCAAGCAAACTCCCATATACTAAACTGAACAGGCCCTCTGTGCCCTTAGATACATAGAGCGATCTTGTGCCATAAGCCTGCTTGGCCCTTTCTCCACATTTTTA